TGGAACAGAACCAGTACTAAACTACATCAAGAGACAACAGATGAAGTGATCTGGACATGTGTCAAGTCTTCCTTTATATAGTGAACCACAGAGAGCCCTGTCACTTAGACATAACGGAAGCAGAGCCTGACGTCGACCACACAAATTATGGATAGATGAAAAATCAGAGGCTGTAAACACCAAGATCTACGTAGCATTTACTAAGCTCACACTGGCTGCCTCTGTGAAAACCTGATGATGAAAGACAGAACAGGACTAGAGAAGAAAAAGAAGGAAGAAGAATCTGGCTGAGACACTTATGCCAGGTGTTTATCTGGGTGATAAGTATACATCAGCTGTAAAGCTGGTTGAGCAGAGCCATATACTTGTTCCTCCAGGGAGGCTTCATTGTCATTTAGAAGTGAGAATTGCAAATTAACAGCCTGAATGCAATCCTAAATGTTTACCAGAGATTCATTCTCGCAGTGGGCAGTTTAGAAAAAGGCTGTTCAAGTGGCTTTTAGACAGTGGTATGAGAATCCCACTGCAGCAGAAACTGAGGCTTAACCATGTAATTTTCCCATAGTTAACAGTGGAAACAATTGAAGACAACCTCAACTGTGATTCCCCCCCCCCCCCCCCCCCCCCCACCATTCCAAGCTTGAAACTTTTTGTTGCCTGGTGTGTGCTTACATCTATATATATTTTCTTATTTTGGTATTTTCTGTTTTGTTATTACTGTTGGTGCCAATCAGTATCCGGATACAAACCCCGACTTCCAGCCTTATGTGACGCATGACAGTATGTGTGGTCTACTTGGTCTACTAGGTGGTTTCCTGTCAATATTAAGCAAACGAAAATTAGATGCCGGAATTCTTTATTATTCATCTTGGGGATGTGCTTGAGTAAAGTATTTGCCCAGCTGCTTTAAGTCACTAAGTTTTGATTTGCTGTTTTAGCATTTGTAGAAAGATGAATTCACTAAGTTAGTGTGTTATTTCATCTTCTTCTTTGTGTTCACAGCTGTAAACTCCAGCAGAAAGTTCTGGCTATTCACCTAATTCTGGACTTTAGTCTTGTTCGAGAAACAGTCTTTTACACGCACATCTGTTTTATAGTTCTGGCTTATTTGTATGCAGACTGTTGGTTCTCCACCTTTGAAGGAATGTATTATTTCAAAATCTGTAGAAAGATCAGTTTACTAAGTTAGTGTATTATTTAACTGCCTTTATAATACCACTTGTGCGGTGCAGGCAGGGAGGTCTTTGAGCCTGAGGATTTCGGACCACATGGCTAGTGCTGTTGCCACCGACTGTGCCCCTCAAAGAAAAAAAAAATTCCCTAACCTTACCAAGGATTCGAACACAGGTCTCCTGCATGAGAGCCCAGTGTTCTAGCCATTCAGCCAGCCACTCCTCGTATCATTTCACAATTTGTTGAAAGACAAATTCACTAAGTGTGTTATTTCAAAAAATTTATAGCAAGACCTAGGCGACACAGTTTTGAGTCAGATATTTCAATACTTGGTTGGTGGTCATAACAAACTATCTTATGCACACTGTCTTGATAGCGGCAAGTCTGAAAGAACTATTACAGGGACCTATAGATAAGGTGGTGGTAGAAAGTGATTAAAATGGGCCTCAGCTTGAAAAATGGGAAGATATATTTAATGCAATATCAAAAAAGAGAACAAAGTGCCTAAATGTATAACAACTGTCTCAGGCATTTTTTTAAGACAAGTACAGCAATTTAAGTATGTTAGAACATGGATGACATCTGACATACAACAAAGATAAAAAAACAGAACAGGGCAGGCCAAAACTGCATTTAAAAAAATAAAGAACATCTTATGCAATAAATCCATGTCATTGGAGGTAAGGGAAATAATTACTCCTGCCATATAGAGCTAGATTGAACATATGGTTGTAAATCCGGGACAATTAATAAACAAGCCAAACAACTTCTTGAGGCCTCGGAGATGTGGTTTTACAGAAAAATCTGTATAATTCCTTGAACAGCTAAAACGAGCAACCCAGATGTTTTGTAAGAGGTGAAGGCTTGCAGACAACTTATCACAAACATCAGAAAGATTATGTTATGAGAAGAAGGAAACTGGAATATTTTGTGACCATAGGAAAAATCTGTGGAAAGAGATAGAGTAGAATGATTCTTGACAGCCTTTTATCATGGCATGGATGGTTGTCAACACATGAACTGATACACACAGTTAAGGATTGCAGATTGTGGAGAGGCATGATCTCCCACGTGTCAAAAGTAGAAAATAAGGTCTGCAAGATCATGCCTAGCTCTGTAGCAAGGAGGATTGAGATCAGCTTATCTCGCTTGAGAGATCGCCCCCAAAAAAACCCAACAATCAGCAGCTAGCAAGTGAACCCCACATTCAAGTGGTTGGTGTTTAATGGGAAACCATGGGGGTGTGGCCAAGGGAGCACTGGTTTGCCAGGATGCTTGCTGTGCTAATAGTTGGTTTGATTTACTGCATCTGATATTAATTTCTTCATCCCATTTACGGTCTTGGGCAAATGTTGTTCCTAGACATTGAAACTCAGATGCCTGTTTAATAAATACATGGGAATGGGAACAGTCTCCTAAACATCAGCTACATATTTGTTACAGATTATTGTGAAAGAAATGCCAGGAGTGGTTCTCTGAACAGACTGCCTTTTGAATATTATTCTTCCTCCTCTTCTTCAATTTGAGGATGTAATAGCACTGAGCCTGTTCACAGAACAGCTGCCATATTTGTGCTTTTCTGCCGACACATCCAACTACTTCATGCATTTGTTGCCTGGGTTGGCCTTCCCAGGTCTTTTGAATATTATTTTTCTAATATTCATTTCATGGTTTAATTGCATTCAGACACAATGCATAAGTATAAGACATCATACAACAGAAATGATTATATACAAGATGAAATCAAGCATATACACAAAATCTGAAGAGTAAAATAATGTTGTGGGAAGAATTTAAAATGTATTTTTAAGTTTTCTTTCAAGGTAACATAACTCAGAAAACCTTTTATTTCAGCTAATACAACAACAACAAAAGAGCACAGGATCAGTAGAAATACCACATACATTTATTAAAACCATTCTACATCAAATGGCCACAGAAATAAAACAACTGTCAGAGCTGAAATGTGAACTAGCAAAAAAGAAGAAGCATGTCTAAAAAATGACTCTCATACACACATGTTCATGCAAAGTTAATTTTTAAAATTAAACAGAATGCAGACAATTAATGCTTTAGGTACTTGGGTGTCCTTTACAGAACATTGCAGAACAAATCCCAGCATTTTTTGTCTGTGATTTCACAAGGCAATTTTAAATTCAGTAGTTTGCCACTGCTTTCTGAATGGTTAGCTCTCGATATTATTGCTGAAACCAATGCAAGACGGTCTGTTGCCGAATCCCCTGCAGTTGGAATTAAATCCGGCATAAAAGAATTACAAGCGAGTTTGTTTTAAGCCACACACGCCAACTATTCAATGCTTAAAATGGAAAAATCTGAAAAATCTATGAAGATAGAAAGATAAAGGGCTATAAAGATCAGGTTAGACCAAAAAGTATTTGATGTGTGGGATGTGTATGGATAAAGCTTTCCTTCACAATGTGTAATGCACAGAATGTTTATTACTGAAGAACTCTTGAAACTTTGAAAATAGTATGAAATATACATTTAACTCTTTAAAGACTTTTTGCCAGTACACTGGTGAATGAATTTATCCCTAATGGACTAATCACCAGTATACTGGCGTATCATAGAGACCCTCTAATTTTGATTCATTTGTGGGAAAAACGAACTTTTATGGACAAGTTTTGAACAATTAGGATTAACAACAGAAAGTCCTTTTTTTTTTTTTTGGCCGAGTTCATCATGGTGTCGGTGCATTTATTTCTGATTTTAAAAAAAATATTTAGATAGGATACAATTTTTATGTGATTTTTCTATACTAAATGATCTTATGTCTAGAACTGTAAATACTGCTCTGCCGTTTGATGAATTTCTGCCAGATGGTGACAACAGTCTTGATAGTACAATTTATATCTGACAAACCTATCGGCGATAATTTAGTTTAGGATATGAAAATTCAACAAAATATTTCAATTGGATCAATGTTTCAATCAGCCATTTTCCCGATTTTTGGTTGTTGTGAAATTTGACATGTCATACAAAAATGATCATAACATCCAAAGTATTGAAATTAATTGTTTCAAAAGACTAGCTGATACATAACTGAACAGAGAAGGCATGTGCATTCTTAGAATTGATAGCAGTGTTGTTGAATAAGTAAAAATGTTAGGTAAGCCCAAAATTCTTTATGTCAATGATCTTCATATATGTCTAACATCCTTTAATGTTGTGTGATTAGGTTTTAGCTTTGTTGTGTTGCAGTAAAAAAATCCGCTCAAAAATGTGGTCCTGAAAGAGTTAAAAGAAGTGATTGACATAAAAACAGAAGAATTAAATAGATTATAGGACAAACTATACAGCACTGAAAGATACCTACTGCTGCAACTAGCACTATCACTGGCTGCTAAGGAAGGGGCCAGAGCAAGAGTGAGAAGTTTCAGAATGCAGTGATGTCAATTTTTCATTCAGTTATTCATTAACCAGTGCTTTACAAGTAGGATCTGGATGAGACAGTTAGTCTTTAACAAAGAACCAGCAAGCATACAGAATCTGTAGGCTTCAGATTTCTTTATGAAAGAATTTGCAGGCTTAGGACTTCTTTATGAAAGAATCTGTAGGCTTAGGATTTCTTCATGAAAGAATCTATAGGCTTATGATTTCTTTATGAAAGAACCCATAACAGAATAAACCAAGAATCAAACAACTCTAACTGCATACAAATGCATACATTTGTCAATTGTGTGTTTTTGTTTCTGACAAACAGAGCCAAGAAACATTTAATAAAAATAATATAACTTGAAACCACCCGGCTACAATGGGTGACAATTACTAATAGAACATTAAAAATCTTCAAGTTACAGTCCATCTTAGTTATCCTCGGTCCCCTTTTCCTCATCGTTATATTGTGCATCAGCATCTTCAAATTTGTCCTCGCTGACAGCATCCTCATTGTTGACATGCCCGAGCTCATTTTCTGGTTTGCTAGAGTCAGGAAAGCTAGTTGAAGCAGACCCATTACTGAGCTCCTCATTCGGCCTGGCAGAATTAGCAGGCTGAGGACTTGACACAACCTGCGAATACAGAAGAGAACAGTTTCAATGTCAAAACATAGAAAATCTCCTAGAAATACTCCTTCATAATCATAAACTCCTTACTATATTGTCACATTTTTCACTGAATCAGTAAACATTGCCCTTTTGATCCAACAGCTTCTGCAGCATGCTTTGTTCCTATTGATGTTTTCTTTCCTTTGCAGTAATCAAGGCAGGATGAGAGGGAGAGATCATGCTGACTGGGCAACACATGTGTCTCAACAATACTGGCCCAGGCTTTGTGCTTCATAGAACATGAACTTAATCCCTGGCTTTAATTGATCTTAGAAACAATGAATCCTTGTCTACCAAGCTTGTGTTCTCAACAATCTTTTCCACGGTAGTGAAACTTGGTGGACTTATTCAGAAGAAAATGCTCAATAGTTTTCCCATGTTGTGTCAAAAGAATACTTAAGTTCTAAGACAGGATCACAGACACTGAGGTACTGCTGGAAACAGCAAGCACAGTGCCAGTTTTTTCAGTGTTTCCAAAGCTCAAATAGCTGGGACATACAACAGATGTTCATAATTACATCCTCTATGGTAAACTGTAGATGAGTAGAAGATGTCAAGGTCAACCTCGACTATTAAATAAAGATGTGTGCAAGTTGGACATGAATGATATAGCTAGTGAGGGGGATATGTGGGATCAGTGTGCCACAGAACATGTTGTATGTGCAGGGGCGAGGGCGAGGGAGGGGGATTCAGGAAGGGAATGGGAATAAAGAACATTCGTTGCAGACATGCTGGGAGCTGATCATCTGAGAAGAAGCACATTAAATACATGTGATCAAAACAACAGTCCTAACAACCCATGTGCTAATCATGGAATAAATGTTTCTTAACTCACGTAGGTCTTACTAGCCACTCGCCATTGCCATAGGCTGTGACTGCCATGCCTTCCTATAGCACAGTATAACACTTTCATAAACAAATTTAAGCAAGGTGCCAATACTGCCTCATAGGATAGCTTCTCTGAACAGTGTGCAAGCTTAGCATACGACTGGTTTTTTGCCAGGCCTTATTCTTTTTCTCTTCCTTTTTACCTCAGTGAAGTGTAGGGGGAATATGTAAAGATTTTTTTCTGTGCTCTTTCTAATGTTCTTTGTTATTTTATCATTTCTTTAAGGCTGTTCTTAATGCAAACATTCCATCTTTTGGTGTAATATTCCCACTGCTCTGTGTGCAGCATTTTTCTTCAGCATGGCTCTTTGAGGCAACTGGCAGCAGTGGATTCCTGTCAGATGGCCTAAATCATCTCAGCTGTTATTCTTTAATGAATTTCTCCAGATAAAATTTAGACTTCCCAAAAATAAATGGCATGTCATATCATCCTAGGTCTTTTACATAATGTTGCTCATATTATATGGGAGCAATTTTTACTTCAGACGGAAAACTGGACAGAGAAATTAGCTCCAGATGTGCCAAAGCTAATCAAGTAATGGGCCAACTATCTCCCCTGTTGACACACAAGCAGATACCTCAGAGTACTAAAGTGAATCTTATCAGAACTATTTTTTGGCCAATACTATGCTATCAGTGCCAAACGTGGACACTTACATCCTCCAATGAACGTAAAATTGTGACAACAGAGATGAAATGCCTTAGAAGAGCTGCAGGAGTTTCAAGGAAAGACAGAATACAAAATCATGAAATCAGACGAATGCTAGGAATAAAGCCAGTCTTACAGGTCATCAAAGAACAACAAATGAAATGGTTTGGACACCTAACAAGAATGCCCTGGTACTATCTGCCACAGTGAGCCACACTAAAACGTTACAACGGGTATAAAGCGAGTGGAAGACCTCGGAAAAGATGGAGTGATGGCATTAAGAACAGCCTTACAGAAATGAACATCAGTCTTAATAGTGCTCTTGACAGAGCTCATCAACGAACATTACATCTCCCCCCGACACTTCGATGAGGTACAAGGTGGAAGAGAAGAAGAAGAAGAAGAAGCTCATATTATAGCATGCAGGAACACAGACTGGTCCCCTGCAAACTTTACCACCACAATAACCAAATGCCCTGGGTGTCCTTGTTATCCTTTCTTCACTGTTGTGCCGGTCAATAGATGCCTCTTCTTCAAAGAAACATACCCAGCTACACCCTTCTCTCTTAACCATTATGATGTTTAATATGGCTGATGTATTTCAGTTTACCAGTTAATTAAACAGTCTTTCTCAATATTCAGATCGTGAAAGTTAGTATTTTTCCACTTCTTGGTCCTTACTCTAAGAAACTTTCTGTAACATTTAAGTTCAAAAGCACCCATTTTTCTTTAGAGAGTGCAAAATGATCCACAACTTGCATCCCATGTTGCCAAAGGAGTACATGTTCTCCGGATCACTTTCAGTTGTTTGCTGATGTTGCGCCAAAAGCTCTTCATCTGACAGTTGATAAGCTACAACTAGTGTTAAACATTCTGGCACATGATGTAACAAGAATTCCAAATGGTATATTTTTCTAATCCCTTTCTGTCCTATTTAACTTCTGTATGTTAACCCAATCTACCCATATTGTTTAGTCTGCTTCCTTCTGTCTCCCCTTTTCTTTAAAATTCACTTCTTCATATGCAATGTTTATTACTTACTAATAAGCAGTGGTTGTAATTTTACTAGACATACATTCAGTTCTTTAGGGTATAGCTTGAATATAGAGGTTTTTGTGTGTCTCAGACACAGGATAATTATACTTACTACTAATTATACTTGGAAAACCAGTTAGGGTGAGTAATTAAATTTAACTGTAATTATGTAACTGTATTCTAAAAAATATTGCCTGAGGAAACTGATAAACATTAAATATGATGAATTAAAACTTGTATCATCAATTAGTGAGAAAGAAAATGACAATATATTAGGCACGTCATGAGGATAAATCGACACAGAATCACCAAACAAGTAATGAAATGGGAAACAAATGGACAGAAATTAGGACGTTAAAAGAAATTCTGAAATTAACAATGTTGAGAGAGGCCAAGGGCGCTGGACTGGATTCCATCCCTTATTCTGGGACAGAATGAAATGGAGAACTAGACTGCAAACACTGACAAATAATGGCACAACATGATGATGTATTAAGCATCCATCATGAATATGGATTACAATAGATACAAATATTAATTTTCAAATCTTTTGAATTTCAAAGTTGTATTTTTTTTTAAACTTCTTTGATAGAAACAGTTAAAATAACTTCAATTAAAACAAAACCAAATTTAATAAAATATTTTTTTTTAAAAAGGTTAAAATGTTACTTCATAAGCATTAGGATCAAATGTTCCAATTTCAAAGGATCCAGTATGACCTATTACAGCATCTTGTGGATTGGGAGCCGGCTCATATGAATTTGACGGTGGTTGCATCTGTTGCTGCTCATATGAATTTGACTGCTGTTGCATCTGTTGCTGGTCATATGAATTTGACTGCTGTTGCATCTGTTGCTGTTCATATGAATTTGACTGCTGTTGCATCTGTTGCTGTTCATATGAATTTGACTGCTGTTGCATCTGTTGCTGTTCATATGAATTTGACTGCTGTTGCATCTGCTGCTGCTCATATAACTGCTGTTGCAAGAACTGCTGGTACTGATGCCGCTGCTGTGAGAACAACATGGGCTCTGACTGCTGTAAACTGGGTGGTGATGTGGTGCTCCGTGAGATATTAGCACCATGTTGCTGGCTGAGTCCTGAGAGGTTCTCACCAGCTATTGGTGGTGGCGGGACCCTGGTGTTGGCAATCATCTGAAAAAGATCACAGAGAACACACATTTACAAATCAATAAGAAAAGAAAAGGTCAAATGCACAGGTACTTTATACAATTTTCTATATCCTTCCCTAGATATTGGATATGGGGAAACTGTTGCTGGCAACCATTTCAAAGAAGATCAAGGAGAACAATGCTTGAAAAAAACATTAAGAAAAGATAAAGTCAAGTGTTCACACCCACTCTCCAAGCATTTTTCTGATTCTTTGCATGTGCCATATATTTTCTCTACACAGCGTTTTTAAATCATGAATCATCCACTTCAACACTTTTAATGATAATATATATCTGATATACAAACCAATTCTATCCCATTCTTCTGTTCCTCCCTCCCCTCCCAAGGGAAAGTTATGAATGAAAACACAATCACCTGCAAACCTGCACCGCTCTCTGCAAACACAATGCCATCATTACTGTTCTGTGACAGGACAGAAGCTGGGCTGGCAGAGTTCCTTCCCCCTGATGGATCCTGGCTGCATCAGAGAAAATCAACAATATAAAAACCTCTACTGACTTGAGTTTGTCTTTTTAAACAAAAAATAAATAACTTGTTTTAAATGTGGTAATCTAGAGAAAAAAAAAGGGGAGGGGTGGGGTGGGTATGTTAATCTTTTTTTTCTGCATTCACCAGCTGTTAACTCCGGCAGAAAGTTCTGCTTTATTCATCCACCTCTAGGTTTTGGTCTTGCTCCAGAACCAGTTTGTTGTGTGCACATATATTTTACACATCTGGCTTATTCGTATACAGATTGTTGGCTCCTGCCTCTATGGCAAATGAACTCCCACTTCGAAGGAAATCCCTAATTAGTCTACTTTTACAGGGAAACCCACAGGTGAAAAGGGTTTTAATCAATCAACCAGGTTTAATCTCCCCAATGAAGGTAGACTGCATTAAATCTTTATCATGCTCTGGTTCTTTACAAGACTGTACCCTCGGAAATGGAAACTGCTGTTGTTTCCCCACACCCCAACTTGTATAACTGTCTACTTTTTGTGTCATGCCTTTATTTTTTCCACCCAGTGTCATTTTTAAAAGAGTGCTGATGTCTTTTAATTCGAGCTGTACTGAACATTATATATATTATTATTGTACCAGTGACTATTCGGTATTCGGCCGAATACTTGCGGTCGGGCCGAATATGAATTGTGGTTACCTTACACCTGCTTCTGCATACACGGCCTTAATGCTGACAACATGGAACGATTGATTTTGTTGAAAGCTTATGCAGCTTTCATGCATTAACTAAGCTGTCAGTGACAATTTACAAATTTAGTTACTTGTTATAATACTTAAATACTTTTATTCCCAGTTATTAGTTACCACAGACTGAGTGAAGGATGCAAAAAAATAAAATGTATGTTTACTATTCTGTACTACATTTAGTGAATTAAAAGTTAAGCGTACATTTGACATTATGAATGTATGTATGTATGTAAGTTGTACCCCACCAGGACATCACACTAAGCTATAAACACCCAGTGACATGAGGGATCACCCGTAAAGAAGTCTCAGAAACCCTGTTCAGCCGTTAGGCCGTATTTATGGCCCGGCTATATTTAGGGTCCCCGACAAAAGCCGGGAAAGGGCTTTAAAAAAACGAAAAATTGCATCCTACATGGTCGACAAGGTTTTCTTTTTTTTAAATTTATTTTATACACTATTAGTGTTCGAATTCGGTGGAATAGTGATAATCACCTATTCGGTACAGCTCTACTTTTAGTGTGGCAAATTTCACAAAATTAAAATGAAATTACTTCTGTGAAGTAGTTCTTTTGGTCTTAGACAGATGTAACTTGAGAATTTAAAGCAACAACATGGTTCTCGACAAGCTTTACAATAGCAGAAACTCAGAAGGGTACCAAGAGAGAAGACACTGAACAGTCTGGCATCATTGTACGGAAGAACATCTTCCCAGAGGTGACTGCCAGTGACCAAAAAAAAAAAAAAAATGGCTGTACACAGAAAATGATTATACCAACACCACACAACATCGACTAAAGAAGAACTACTCTGGATATTGTGAGGAGCAGCTAACCAAACTGTTCAGAACACTGGACTCTCATGCAGCAGACCAAGATCTGAATCCTCTGTAAGGCAGTGGTTTTTTCTTCTGTTGGGGGAAAAAATAAAATTGTAACCCGCATGGTCCATTGTGATAGCATTAGCTATGTGGCCCTAAATCCTCAGGCTAAAAGACCACCCTTCCTCTGCCTACACCGGAAAAGAAGCCTAATACAGCCAATACTGGCAACTTTTTAAACAGTAGATATTTCTACAGCTTACCTTTGTGCCAATGAATATAATGCAGACTGGCCTTCTGTAGGCAATGTCTCTGCTACCACTGGCTGGGTGAGGTATTCTGATCTGAGACACAAATCTGCTGTTGGTCTTAGCAATGGATTTGGACACAGGAGCTTCATTAGGAAGATTCCAAGCCGTCGATCCTGTGGTGGAACAAGAAAGTAGACTACAAGAACATTTCAACACTGAAAACTTTCCATTTAGGGAGTACACACTAATAACATTAAAAAACAAAAGCTATAATTACCATAGTTAATGGGATATTCCAGTTCAGTAACTATAGCTTTAAATTTTTATGTTGTTTACTAGTGTATTCTCCTATCTTTCTAGTTCTGTTGAGGAGTGTCCTTCAATATATGTCAATTTATTTATTGTACTGTTTCTATGGCCACAAGGGTTCCTCATCTGTTTATTTGTGCAGATAAAATTTAGGGAGGCAGTGGCTTGGACATACTGCACTTGGTTTCAAACTCAAGAAGACCAGGTGTGGATCAAGATGTACATCCTGACAAGATAATAAAAATGTTTCTTTACATTCCATGTCATCTGTTGTTTGTTCATCACTGTGTCTGTTCACAGCACCCTAAAGAAAGCTGTGTTAGTTCCTAATCCTGTGGTAGAAGATCTAACTTACAAACTGGCTGTTACTCCTTCCTGATCCCGCTGATCACGTAAACTACTGAAAACCATTTATGACACAGATGGACATTTAACTGTCTATGACAATCTATAGCATAAATATACATGAAACTAAGGTCATCCATGTACAACAAAATAAAATAGAATGTTATGATTCTGTAAAGAAATCAAACATACAAGTACATATCTTACAAAGTATTTACATGGAACTTGGGAGTCGCCGTGGAGTAGCAACTAGATGCATGCCTGCAGATCACTAGGTCATGGGTTCACATCGGAACACAGCCAGGCTTTTTCAAAAATTACCTTGGCTCCCAGGTAAATCCAGCCTTAAATTGGTACCAGGTAGAGTCCTGGGAAGTAAAGGTGGTTGGCCTGATGCTGACCACAACACCCATTGAGTGCCGAATAAAATATCATTGGCACCTTTCCGTCTTTCCAGACGATAGTGTTATTTTGCGCTATGAGGAGGAATGAGACTCACAGCCCATAGCGATGGTGAGTGTGACAGCAAGACCCGCCCGTGTCAAGAAAAGGGAATAGAAAAATAGGTCTAGCAATATATGCCCAATACATAAAAAGGCATGAAAAAAGGTTCTTTACTTACTTTATCTTACATGGAAGATAACTACATATAGGTAGGTAGCTACATATAGGTAGGTAAGTGCTTTGCTGCACAAAATTAAAAAGTCATCACGCTCAACCAGCATCCCTGAAGGGAGAGCTTTAGGTTATAAATGTCTGTCCTTCGAATCTCCTACTGTCTGACAGCAAAGGTTTGTAGACTTGACGCAACAGCTGATTCACTTAGGCTCTTCAGTAGGACAATCTGTACTGCAGTGGATTCTAGGTCACTGTGGCTTGGAAGGCAATGAAATAGCAGACAGATTGGCCAGAAGCGGCAGTGACATGGTACAACCAAATAGCGACTTAACCCACCAAGAGAAGAAAACATTAATACAATCTAGTATTCAAGAAAAGTGGCTGGATACACACACCAAATTCTCTACTTAAGACTCACTTCATCGCCTCTCTAGAGAGGGTAGATAGTATTATATTCAGACTAAGGACAGGGCACAACAGACTTCGTCAATATATGTTCACACTTTTTGGTGTAGGAAACACGGAGTTGTGTCCCTGCAGAGTGGCTCCCGAAAATGCTGAGCATGTGCTCCAACAGAGATGCAATCTGGCATGTTCCAACCACAATTAAGACAAAGCTGTATGGTACACGAGAGGAAATGAACTGAAAGATAGCTTTCATAAAGGCTACCGGCCTCCTGATGTAAGTTTTCTGACAGAAGGATTGAAGAATAAGAAGAAGAAAAAGACTGTAACTAGGTTATGTGCACCAAATAATATGACTTAGCATTGCACACCACCAAAAGCCGTGAAAAGGACTCCTGACAGATATAAAACTGTTTAAGGGTTAAGGCATAAGCGGTACTGATATAAAACTGTGTAGGACTATATATAATGAAGATAGATTTTAAAAAAAACTCTATCTTCATTGTTGAATACAGATTATGACATTGAAAGATATAAAACAGTTTATGGCCAGACATGGTATAAGACAATGCATCACATGGACAGATTTAAAACTCTTTAAGACTACTTATGACATAAATAGATATTTAACTATTTTAATCAAGGCTACATATGAACCATTTTAAGACTGTCCAACTGTGGCACAGATTTCAAGTTACAGCCACATGTTATTTCACATTCTGGAAAAATAAAGTTAACAGAAACAGTCAAAATACATACCATCGGTAAAGAAGAGAAGTCCAAAGTTCCATCTTTTCTCTCCATGAAATGAGTATTTGGGTAGTGCATCTGAAATATAAGAATGCAGCTTCTATTAAATGATGGCTGCGGCATGGTTGCTATGTGTATATGAGACACTCCATACCTCACTCGAGCGCCAGCAGGTTCTTTGCTGATTTTATGGGTTCTCTTGCAAGTCCATGTGTCACACTTTCCTTATCAAGTGTTAAGGATAATGGCCTATATCGGCCTAAACCGGTGGCCCCCAGAGATGTAGTGCCTATAAATACTCTGCCATCAGCCCACCCCACGTGCATGGGTGATAACAATAATGAAAAACCAATTTAGAACATGAGTGAGGTCTGACTGCTAAATACCCTACTAAATGATAAACAACTCAGATTAAATGTCCATCGTCTGAAAGTCTTCTTGTATAACAAGCCCTGCTTTTAACATCTGCCGTCCAAAAATCCTAGTGTAAGATAAACCATGGTTCAAACATGTGTCGCCTGAGACTCCTACTTTATGGCCGTTTAGGTTCAAATGTCTGTCCTTCGAATCTCCTACTGTCTGACAGAAAAGGTTCAGATGTCCCTCACTCAAAGATCCGACTTTATGACACAAAAGGTTTAAACCATTCAAACCAAGCTTGCAGTATAATGACCATACATGGAGGCCAAGCCTGTTTTTGTTAGAGACACAGTCAGGCCAAATCCCCCCCCCCCCCCCCCCCCAAAAAAAAAACACAGGAAAAGATAGTTGTAATATTTGCCTTGTGATCTGAAGGTTGTGAGTTTAATTTCATTCTATATCCTTCAGTTTGTGAATGCAGGTGTTGTGGCCTGGTGGTCAGACTAGAGCTCTGGAGTTCCTGCTTTCAACAACATTTTTAATGGTGACCAGCCACTCTGCAGAAAGAGACCAAGCCACATGGGAGAAAACCAAGCAATATAGTCCATCTCGTCTCTAAACACTCTTAGTGATAATTCTTCAGTCCCAGTTTTTATAATACATCTTTATTTGTTTTCTGATCTTGTCAAAGCATTTTTGTTTTCTACTCAACGCTTTGACAGCCTTGATTTTCTCCTCAGTTTATCAGTGACCTTAAGACTTAAATACTCTGAACTTGCTAATTATTTCATAGTGAGAAACTAAATTTTGTTAATATTACTTTATCCATCCCTCTTCACTTTTCTATTGCTGTCTCCATCACTAGGCTTTAATAGTCAGCACAAAAACTAGTTACTTGTTCAAGTGTCTTTTCATTCATAATAATTTCAAACTCTTTCAAACTCAGAATTATATCTAGGATTTTAAAAATAAAAGCATAGTTACTGGCCATGTATATATATCTTTCTTAAGACAGTTAAGAAATATTGGTACCAAACACTGCTGGCCTGGCCTGTATGTACCATTTGACAAATAATGCTGATTTTATAAACTTCTCTCCATGTGGGTTCTGGGGCCCCATTGTAAAGGGAGGGGGGGGGGGGGGAATTCTACTGCCCTCAATGACAAGCATATTATAACAGGTTACTTATTAGGGGTTTGCTGAAATCTAATGTGTCGGGCAGAAAGCGCACATATCACAGCCTAGGCGGTAAAGCATAACACAACAAACCAACAATCATTTCAAGGTCCAGTGTGGACAAACAAGAAGCTTAAGCAATTCTTCTCCTAAAATTAAGTCTATTTTGGGTGCAAAGAAATATGCTTTTGTAGCAGATGTGTACAGACAGGGGTGGAGACTTGACACCTTACTTAGAAAACAAATCTCTTGATTGTTGCTAAATGTCTCACCCATAAAGCGAGCAGTCCTAAGCAATAAATATCTACAGAATGACCAGGTTCCACTGGGATCATGTTTTGCTTCATCTCTGGTGCTATAATATCAATTCCATTGCTGGTTGTGTATCGAGATCTGCATCTGTCAGTCTGAAATACCAAATTAACATCAAATGTCTTTAGAAAACTACATTCAAACAATTCATCATCATATTCTATAGACTGGCAATATTAACAGGTAAATATCAATCAATTAATCCATACAAGGAAGGTTGGCTGCAATGGATCTCCAACATTTCTTGAATATATTCTTTATCAGACAGCAGTTCATCCATCTCTTTATGTTATCCCCCCCCCCCCCCCTCCATTTGTATTGCTGTCTGCCCCTTGCTCTCTCTCTCAAATTTGCTCTCCATTAGTTTTTAATGGCTGAAATATATCATCTGTTTCTTTTTTATTTCCATCTTTCTTTTCATTCCTCGCAATTTCAGAACCTCTGTATTTGGTTCTTTTGATAGAAATGTTATAAGACACACTACCTTTCTGTGTGTAAATGAAGACTACACATATTTTCCTATTTCGTGTGTACCTACAGAAAGGTAAACATCCACAGTTCTTGTTTCAGTCTCAACTCTTTTAGTACCAGGCAGGAGTTGCTGTAGCTGGTTGTAGCCTAACCATTTTTACATAAGCACATGTCTGGGTCTGAAAGCTTTAACATAATAATACTATACAGCATGGTGAGTAAGGTAACAATTGGGACATAACTAGTCAATATCAGTGCAATAAGTAAATGCATGGTGAGTTTTTTAGTACTGGATAAGTTTTTTTATTTTTTTTATTTCATTTTGAAAAACTGTTAATTCCACACACAAAAATGAAGGTTCACTAAACTATTAGCTCCCCAAGTCTTCTACTTCTTCTGTCTTATATCTCCCAATAGAACCTTGGCACTCTGTAGGCTCATTCCTTATTCTACATTCACATTTGAAAAGGAGGTTAGTATGTTGTGTTGTAGTTTACAGCTAGGCTGTGTTTTCTGTCCCTTCCAGCCCAAAACATCCAATTTCAACAAATCCTAAATTAGCCACTCATGTCAATATGCTTGGTAAGGAGCAGTAGGTCTATTATCCTTTCCCACAACATACAAATAATACAAATACATTTGTAACAAAAAAATTAAATGAAACAAATGAAAATTTCACCTCACTTTACCTTGCTGAGAAGAGTCAAATGCCTACTAAGATGGTGCTGAGAAGGGAGGAGGGGGAGATGTTAATGTTTGGATGGAGAGTCCACTTTCAATAAAAATTCAGGAATCCGAAACGCCAATACTGGTATTTTTCTCCCCCCCCCCCCCCCTCCCCCCCTGGCTAACTCTCCTCATATTTGATAGGAAAAGAGGTGGGATGGGGTTGGTGTCTCTATTCGCTACCTAGACCTGGTTGAGGCTCACTATGTTCGACTTTTACTAAAAAACCTGTCAAAAGAACTTTGCTTCCGCCTTCTCCCCAGAATGTTTAGGAAATGTTACTTTGTTTGGTCAATCCAGTGCTATTACAGCTTGTTTCAGCTTTGTTGGGGTGGTTCTTCTCTGCAAAGTGCTTGCCATCCGTCCATTTGGCAAACATTTCAATGATTAATGAGAAAGGTAAACAAGGGTAGCACATGATGTCATGACTTATTCCAGCATGTGAGCCATATTCCAAGCAAAATTTGTGTGTCTAAACAGGACCTATACCAAGTTGGATGTATACCAACACGGACGTATCCCCAGGTATCACTGTGTTAGAAAACATCATCTTCTTTGCATCACTTATAGGGGTCGCCAAGGCAAAGTGGTTCAATCCATCTGCCTTACCCCCCTAAAGGTTCATTTTACGGAAATAAAACCCTAAATTTATATCCACAATCTGCACGAACTCTACTGTCTCTCACACTTCATAAAAAGAGACTTTTAATGGATATAATGCAAACACTTTTTTATGCCCTAATATTATACTGTAATTTCCCCTGCTATTCAATTTTTGTAAGAAACTTGACAGTTCTGAAATCAATTTCTTTTCTCAAGACATGTGAAAGACTACAGACTGCTTCTGCCTAAAGTGTTAAAGATTTAGAGCACTGATTTCAGTAACACTACACTCACTCTACTTCCTGCATGGTTAGCTTTAGCTATCTTCATCATCGAGTACTATGCTAACTAGCAACGGTGATCCTTCTTCTCCATATGTCCTACTTCTTCATACATTGCTTCTTTATATTATTCATTTCTGTCATGAACTTTCCATGACAAGCATGTTTTAAAAGGAATTTTCATTAGTAACTGTTTATCCATGCACTGGAATGTGTTTTATCAATAATTGTTTTAACCAACTGTTTTGTGCTTGGTCTTTACAAATAATTAAATCAGTTGAGGATAAACATAATAAATCTGTCTTAGGCTTTAATTTTCCTAGGATACTTCTAAAGTATTTCTAAAGCTGTGCACCTTGACAGATTATGAAACACACTTCATTTAGCAAGTTATTATTCCTATTATCAAAGTGTTTACTTTTTAATTTGAATCCTCTTCAACTTTTTTTTCATTTACAAAAATTTTTTTGATTTGAATCAACATAAAGAGAACATAGCAATGTGTTTTAATAACTCAGAATTTCCCAATGTACAAGCTATGGGGCAAATATACTACACACTTTTCTTCAAATTACGAATACTTACATCTGTCAGTGAAAAGTCTGGAGGCAGCAGCTTCGCATTCCCTTCTTCATCCACCATTATGAATTCTGGCTGAACTTGTCCATGGACAAAATTGTAGAGATTCAAAGCCTGCAGTGCTCTAGCAATGCTTCTGATAATTGACTGGCAATGCTAAAAATACAGACATTAGAAACTGAAGGCTTCATGTCATAACTGTTCTTGTTTCTAACTAGACAAATACACAGGAAAACTGTCTTTGCAGAACATTGCTGGCATCCTTCTTCTTCACGTCCTCTTTTACCGCTCTGAGTGTCGAGGGAGATAAAAGGTTCTGCTTCTTGCCTTTCAAAACCCACTCCAACTTCACAGGAATAGCTATTTGTTGACTTTTGTGACATGCTTGTTAGGGAGGTATCTCCCCCCCAACCCCCTCCTCCTCACCTTCCCCTACCAATGGGGCCCATAAATCCACATGGGGATAATAAAACACAAAAGTTCCAATTACTTAACACTCCTATAGTTCTTTATACATGTTGGAAAACTATCAATATCATAATACTCAATATGTTTAAAAAATTATGGCATGCCAAAGACATCATATAAGGTTAGTTGGTATCCTTTACAGGACGCTGCAGAACCAAACCCAACAGCCCCTTGCTGTTGTGTGGTTTTTCTAGGCAAATTTACGTCCAGTAGTTTGCTATTGCTTTCTGGACGGTCGGCTTTCTTGATACCACTGTCGAAACCAACGCAAGGCGCATGTCAGACAAGGCAGAATAGTGACATACATCTGTGACATACCTGTTCTGTCAGATTAGACAGAACAGTGACATACATCTGTGCCATACCTGTTTTTTCAGACAAGGCAGAATAGTGACATACATGTTTTGTCAGACAAGGCAAAACAGTGACATACATCTATGTCATATCTGCTTTGTCAGACAAGGCAGAATAGTGACATACATGTTTTGTCAGACAAAGCAGAACAGTGACATACATCTGAGTCATACCTGTTTTGTCAGACAAAGCAGAACAGTGACATACATCTGAGTCATACCTGTTTTGTCAGACAAGGCAGACCAGTAACATACATCTGTGTCATACCTGTTTTGTCAGACAAGGCAGAACAGTGATATACATCTGTGTCATACCTGTTTTGTCAGACAAGGCAGAACAGTGAGATACATCTGTGTCATACCTGTTTTGTCAGACAAGGCAGAACAGTGATATACATGTTTTGTCAGCAAGGCAGAATAGTGAGATACATCTGTGTCATACCTGTTTTGTCAGACAAGGCAGAACAGTGAGATACATCTGTGTCATACCTGTTTTGTCAGACAAGGCAGAACAGTGATATACATGTTTTGTCAGCAAGGCAGAATAGTGAGATACATCTGTGTCATACCTGTTTTGTCAGACAAGGCAGAACAGTGAGATACATCTGTGTCATACCTGTTTTGTCAGACAAGGCAGAACAGTGATATACATCTGTGTCATACCTGTTTTGTCAGACAAGGCAGACCAGTGATATACATCTGTGTCATACCTGTTTTGTCAGCAAGGCAGAACAGTGATATACATCTGTGTCATACCTGTTTTGTCAGACAAGGCAGACCAGTGACATACATCTGTGTCATACCTGTTTTGTCAACTTTGAAGACTCAACAAGAGTGGATAGTAACTCTCCCTGTTTCTTCACTTGAACGTAAGCATGGCGGTTGTTCTGATGATGGAAAACATACCAAACTGCTAGCAAGTTGATATATAAGTTTCCCAACATGGAACAATTGGAATTAATGGACAGAAATTAATACTAACACTAAACATAAAATTTTTACTTTTAATGTAAATCAGTACTGTTGTATGGAGTGGAACATGGAGATCAGCTAAAGCAATTATAAATAAACTACAAATATTCATAAATTGGTCCCTGCACAGAATAGAGGGAATTAAATGTTATGAAAGAATCACTAATGTAGACCTTTAGGAGAGAACTAAACAAGTCCCAGTGGACCTAGAGGTGAAGAAATTATGCTGCCATTGGATAGGACACATGTAGAGAAAACCTGAGAACAATACAACTAGAATGTCAGCACTGGAACCACAGTGACACAAAAGGTTTAAACCATTCAAACCAATGGCAAAGCTTGCAGTATAATGACCATACATGAAGGCCAAGTCTGTTTTTGTTAGAGACATAGTATATTCCCCCCCTCCCCCCACCTAAAAAAAACTCACACAGAGGTCCGACAATTAAGTAATGAGACTGATTTTATTATGGCCAAGACAAATATGCCATTTATGAAGCAAAGCATTGAATCCATTGAGGCAACCTTCATCTATGATCTGGTAACTTTGCATTGCCACCAGAAAAGCAGATGACAAACAAGCCGCCATTTTATTGACCTAGTTAGATGTGCATCATTACAAAATCAGCAAGGAGCAAAAAGCTAACATTAAATTCTGTTAAAAACTCAGAAAAAGCGCCATTGCAACAGTTCAACTGATGCCACAAGTTTATGGGGAGGGACAATTGTTTGTCTACTGTACAGATTTTCAGGTGGTATTCACGATTCAAAAGTGGTGTAGAAATGATTACTAATGCAACTAGACCTGGACGTCCAATTTCTTTCTGTAATGATAAACTCACTAATGTGCAAACGTCACAGTATGGATACAATAAGATCGTTGTTTTACTGTCAGGATAATGGCAGATAAATCTTGTGTTAAAAATAGAGAGACCCTTCGTAAAATTTTAGTGCAAGACTTTAGACATAAAAACATGCTTGCAGGTTTGTACCGCTTTTGTTGTCTGATGACCAAAAACATCAGCCAGTTAAATACCCACGAGACATCACCAAAACAGGAATTTTTTGCCCCAAAACAAATGTGTGTTCTCAACCATCCACCCTATTCCCCAGATTAATCTCCGTGTGATTATTTTCTATTCCCAAAATTAAAGTTACCATTGAAAGGACGCTTATTTGACGAAATTGATGGCATTCAAAGGGCCGTAACATCGACTGAAATGGCCATAGCAACAAAAGAACTACAGAGGTCGTTCCAGTGTTTTTAGATCATCCTACTCACTGTATTAATGCACAAGGGGTTTACTTGGAAAAAAATACAGGTTATATCTTCAACTGTTGATTTTTTAAATTTTTATAGAATTAGTCCCATTACTTAATTGTGAGACTTAGTTCATCTGTTCTCTAATCCTTGTTCTTCAGTGTCAGGTTTTAAAGATGCATCTAATGCGAGCCTTGGTGTGTGCTGCATGGATGATGGTATTCATTACATCAGATATTCCCTCTATCCATAATTTGTTTGCAGGGGCGACCTCTAGATCACAGATGTTACACATGGGTTGTAAGAATATCATGGGTAAAGAATGCATCCATACTTCAGGAACTCAGTACTGAAGAAGGCTGGCTATTAAAGTTGGCAAAACACAGAAAATTTAAATATTTTGGTCACTTGAAACGAAACGAAAGTTTAGAGAGAATAATAATGAAGGGTTATATGGCTGGAAAGAGAGGAAGTAAAAGGCCAAAGAGAAGATGGGTGCAGGATGTGGCAAATGATCTCAACATGGGTGAATCAAACGCGGGACATCCTGCTTGTGATCGAAAAGTTTTCCGCAGGGTTATTATGGGAGCAAGGTTCTGCAAAGGACATGCTACTGACTGACTGACTGACCTCTATCCCTGCTTCCACTGTACCTAAGTGACAGTGATCTCTGTGGCGTAATGTACAGCTGTAGGACCATGACCCGTTGTGTTTTGATGTAGTTTAATACTGTTTCTGTACCCACACATCTCCCTATATCATTATTTCTGATCCCGCCTCTTCTGGTTACATTCAGGATTTGTTGTGGATATTTCTGTTTTGCTGATTTTTCTATTTAATTAGCATATTAAGTTTAGTTTTCTTTTGGCTTACATTCAATATAAAAATGTCCCAAGTGCTGTGATTTCAATTCTTGATTGACTGATTCATTCATTCTTTGCTTACAATTTCTGCAAAATGTGTGTGAACATATTTAGACTTTTTTTTTTTAAATCTATCAAAGCTTGAGCATATTTTTATTAATTTACAAGCTTTTAAATATGAACAGAACCCAGCAAACAAGAAAGTGATTAATCCCCCCCCCCCTTTTTTTGTTATTGTAAATATAAGTCAGTTAAACATGACAGTGACATTCAAATCAAATGTAATGACTGATGAGCAAGAATGGACATGAGAACTCAGTAACCACTGGCAAGATTGATGGAAAAGTACAAGGTGAAGGCAAAGAGATAAATACCTGGCAGGCTTGACCATACGGAATAAGATGAAACAACAGCAGAGACCTGATACGTGATTCTAGTTGCCGCAAGAGATGGTGAAACATGATAGCCTATGCTTATCGTTACTGTGTGTGATGATGATAATGTGTGATGCTTTAGGCACATGATTTGCCTTTTCTTCTTCTGCCTTTTTATCCCCCAATGGAGCATAGGCCCTCAACCAACTCACGCCAAGTCGTTCTATCCTTCGCCATTACATGGAGCTCTCCCCATGTCCTCCCAATCTTTCTAACCTCATTCTCCAGCTCTCTTCTCCATGTGTTTTTTGGCCTTCCTTTATTCCTATGCCCCTGTGGGTTCCAATGCAAAGACATTCTAGTTATGCTGTTCTCCTGTTTTCTCAGTGTGTGCCCTATCCAACGCCAGCGTCTTTTCCTCACCTCCTGATCCACTGGAGCCTGTTTAGTTCTCTCCCAAAGTTCTACATTAGTTATTCTATCATACCATTTTATTCCCTCTATTCTGCGCAGGCACCAGTTAATGAATGTCTGTAATTTATTAGTAATTGCCTTGGTTGTTCTCCATGTTTCCGCCCCATACAATAGTACTGATTTGACATTAGAATTTAAAAATTTTTAGTTTAGTATTAACTTTTAATTTCGTTTGACCTCCACAAATTCCCTAGTGCTATCAAAATATTTAACCCATCTGTCCATTTGATCTTTAGTGTTAGTAAGTACCTTTCCTTGACTATTTTTGATTGATCCAGTTGGCTGACTATATTTACCTACTATTTTTTTTGTGTTACTGTAAAGTTCTCTGAGGTTTCCTTTTGCTGCTGCTGTCTCCGCTTCTTGTGCTAGATCATTTAGATATTTCACTTTATCTGCCCTTATATGCCTCCTAACTTCCTTGTTGGCTTCTGTGTAATTCTCCTGAGCTCTAGCTTTAGCAGCTCTAGTTTTGCTATTGTTTAATTCTGCCTTTTTACTTTTCCTATCTTCAATCAGTTTAATGGTTTCTGGTGTTATCCATGGTTTATGTTTCCTTTCTTTCTTGCCAAGAACTTCTACGCAAGATTCATTCCAGATTCCTTTGATCTGATCCCAGCAGACTTCTGTGTTGACATCTTCAGCTAACTGCTGCAACACCTGATACTTATTAGAGACCGTAACTGAGAACTGTTCCTTAATTTCTTTATCTCTGAGAAAGCCTACATTATATTGGTTTCTATGATTATAAGATGTTATATATCTTTTTAGTTTCAACTTGATTTTACTTATCACCAGGAAATGGTCAGTAAATACATCGGCACCTCTGAAAGCCCTAACATCGTAAAGGGATGATCTAAACTTTTTGTTAATACAAATGTGGTCAATTTGATTAGTTGTCTTATGGTCTGGTGATTCCCATGTTGCCTTGTGTATTATTTTATGGGGAAAAATACTTCCACCAATAACATATTGGTGACCTGCACAAAAATTTGTGAACAATTCTCCATTTTCATTCATTACTCCTAGACCATGTCTCCCCATAATTTCTTCATAACCTGTGTTGTCTGATCCTATCTTAGCATTCAAGTCACCCATCAAAATTTTTTAAGTTGCCCTTTCTTTCATTATTTATAATATTTTGAAGCTGCATGTAAAATTCTTCCTTAACAGATGCATCTTTATCATTTGTTGGTGCATAACACTGTATTACCGACATGTTCACCTTCTGCTTTACTGTTCTAAAAGATGCTCTTATTATTCTGGGACTCACAGCTTCCCATTCTATTAGTGCTCTGTCTGCTTCTTTTGATAGCATCAGGGCCACTCCTTCACTGTGCGGCAAATTTTCCTCTGTGTGTCCTGAGAACAAAATAGTTTCTCCTGAATTGAGAATACTTTTCCCTGTCCCAGTCCATCTAGTTTCACATAACCCCAAAATACTAATTCTATAATGTTTCATTTCCTTTGCTACTTCCATTGTTCTCCCTACATCATAGAGAGTTCTAACATTCCAGGTGCCAATTCTGGAGGTTTTCCTAGCTGAGAGGAGGTAAGTCAACGATCCGGACTCCTTACGGCTTTCTCCACACCGTGTCATACTTCTTCTATTTGAAGAGCCTCCCCTCATCTAGGTTGGCTGGAGTTTATTTGCTTCTCTTTTTGACTTATCCATGGTTGGTTGGTTTTTGTGGCTATGGTTTTTACAGGATGAGGTAGCCAACCTCACGCCCAGCCCTACCCTAAGTCGCCTCTTACGACATGCCTGATTTGCCTTTTACTATAACCTAAAATGTCCAGGCGGTACACTCTTTATGAACTGATTTCACAGAAAAACAAGAAGTTAAAATCCAGCGCAGTGTTCTTCAACATTTTTACACCTGCGACCAGCAAAACAGGGGAAATTATTTGTGGACCATCTGACAGCTGACCAAAAATCACCAATAAAAACAAACAATGACAGCAGTTTCATTACTAAATCCAATGTCACCAAATTACATTTTTTAGCTATTGCGACATCTGCTGTGTTGGAAGTTAGAAAATCTGATATTATTGACCATAGTATTGTTTCTGGCAGATGAAGCATAACAAAAGTATCCATTCCATTTCTGTTTAGTTTTTATTACTAATATGGATTAGAAAATATGTCAGCTCAAGTAGGAAATAATAAAAACATGATTGGGCAGAAAGTTTTGACAGACCACCAGGACAATTACGCAGACCACCAGTTGAAGAACACTCATTTATCTGCGTCCTCAATAGAGATTTCTTATCATGTGTTTAATCCTCTGTGGGCCATATACTTGAACTTGAGGCTCTTACGTTACCCCAAAGCTTAGTTGTCTGGTCTACTAGGTGTGGCAACATGTTGTTTCATAATCTAGCTTACCTTGTCAAAGAATACGGCACAGATTGTCTCCAGATTGCTAGATGAAGCATTAGTGTAGAGTGCCATACGTGAGAGAAACTCCTCTTTATCCAAGTGGTTTCCATTACTAAGGAAGTATTCCTAAGTTTAAAAACAAGAAGTTCAGTGTTAAAATGCAAAGTTACTACCAAGTGCAAACATTTGTATAACATTTTCATCCAAGCTGGTGAGGCTAATCTCACTTCTTCACATCTTGTGATCTCTAACAGCATGTACCAGTTCATCTGACGACATTTTTGAGGCATCAACAAAAGAAAATCAAGAAATTTCTAGCCCTGTTCTTCTTTTTTCTTCATAATATGTCTAACTTTAGAGTCGAATGAAATCACTTCACTCCTCTCATTGTATCCTTTATAGATCAGCCTTTCTCCTCAAATGGCTTAACTGCCTATCAAGAGTACTACATAAAGCATGAACTCCACACCTGCAGCCACGATCCCCAGGGATCTCCATAAATACTGTGAACTGAATGATAACCTTCAGAGTAGGAAAGACAACCGACAGAAATCATTATAAATAGGTGACAGGTTGAATTAGGATACTGAAGCATTAAACTATTCTTATTTTTCTGCATTCAGGTTCAAAAGGGTAGCTGGCACACTATATTGTAGTTTAAAGCACGTTTCAGTCCAAAACATCTGATTTCAGCAAAATCTTAACTAGTCACATTTACAATGTCCCTAATATGGAACTGTAGGTCTATTTCTCACATCCTCCACACCTTCCCCCAGTGAGGGCACTAGGACCCATTTGGAGAATTAAACTACACAAAATACACCATGCAAGACACACTCAAATGTAAAAGTAAAAGGTCCCTTTTTCACACCTTTAGGCATATTGGGAATATAGGGCTAGGCCTATTTTTTTTATAGACCAATCGGCACTTGGTGGGTGATGTGGTCAGCATCGTGCTGGCCGCCTTTACTTCCCAGGACTGCACCTGGTACCCACTCAAGTCTGGGCCGACCTGGGAGTCAAGGTCATTTTTGGAAAAAAAAGCCAGGCTTCATCACTTATAAATGTGGTAAGCTAAAATGAGAAAACATACTCTGAGGATCACTGGTTCTCCATCAAAGGATGATTCATACATTCCACTGGAGCTGCTGCCAATGCTGGTTAGTGTGAAGTGATCTAGAGCCTGCGATTGCTTGACTAGCCCTTTGTAAGTCTAGGGAAATATGTGACATCATCATTGGTTTTTAAAAATGTTATCAAATAGCAAATTTTAATTCAACTAAATTTAACAACTGAAGATGAGGATAGAGCACTTAGAACATTACCATAAGTGCTCTATCCTCATCTTCAGCAGCCAGAGCAGAGTTACAATGCTAATGGTACAAACAGCTATTTGACTGTATATCCATCTTGTCTTTCCTCTGAGTTTTGGGTGCCGGCCAGATTCCCTGGTCGCTCCCTGCTACATGATTCTTTCCAGATCATGCTGACTTTTGTGTGTTTCTGCACTTGCTCCCAATGAAAATGAAGAAAATATCCAAAGGACACTAACAACCTGACACATCTGAGTGACGCTTGACAACAGGGCATGACTGTCTCAATTTTTTTTTCTTCAACATGCTCTCTGAATCTGTTACAATTAAAACATGTGTATACAGCCGGTTCACAAGCCAGCAGAAAGCTGATGTGACTCCCTCTACCTCCATTTACAGCCGACAATCTACAGAACTTTTACTTACTAATAGTTGCATACTAGAAAACCCATGTGCATTGTCACAATTCCTAATACTGTGTGAGTAATGACCAAACTGCCACATCTAGCCATCATTATAAACCATGCTGATTTGAGTGGGTAATCAAGGTTTGCAGCCCATAAGATCTTCGGTGTCTCAATCAAGCTGGCAAGCCTGTGTTGTCCTGATAAGGCCATGTGGCAAAGTCATCAATATTTATCTATGTTTTCTCTGTCCCTTTGTCTCTTTCTATTAAGTCTGCTATCTGGCACTAAGTTCTCTTCATAGTAAGCAATCCATGCACAAATAATAATCTAATGATTGTTTGTTTATGGCAAAAAGGTTAACAAGCCACATCAAGTCAGATTTTTTTTTCAATTACCTTGGACCCGGGTCAACCCAGCCTAAAACTGGACACCAGGTAGTTCTGGGTAGTAAAGATGGCTGGCATGATATTAACTACATCACCCATCCAGTGCAGACTGTTATATAACAATTTGAGTCTTGCATCATAAACTTGGTGTGCCACTAGCATGATAAAGGTCCTTTACCCAGAACAGATGACCCTTTAGCTCAGAACTCAACTAGTTAAATGACCAACAGAACCACCTTGGATCAACTCCAGCTGACGTTGAATGCATTTATCTTTTCTAACCTGTGTCCTCAACACAGTCTCATTAATTGTGACCTGGATATCTTTGGTTTTGAAAAACAGGCAACAAGAGAAGAAATACATGCTAATTATAACTGTAACCTAGTTCATATGATACTATATAATGTTGCACTTCTATAACATCAGATTTCATGTTATTACGATGTATAAATAACTAATTTCTGTTACCAGTGATGGTGAGATAGCTACATATTTTCAATGACCGACAGGCATATGAATATTATTTAATAGTCAGTATTATATTAACAGAAGAGCGGCTGGCCAGGTGGTTACAATGTAGAGCTCCCAGGTGGGAGACACAATTCTGACCCCTGGTAAGGTAAAATGGATGTTTTCTGTCAGGGGCAAAAATTAACATCCTAAGCTGCGCCGTCCATGTGCACTTAAATGATGAGGCTCATGACCCACAGTTTTGAACCAATATTGAAACACCACTCACCAATTTGTCTACAAAATACAGGTCTAGCACTATATACATAGTACGGATAAGGAAGGACATGGAGAACAGCCCTTTACTCTTTATTTACTTGTTACCAAGCTGGAAAAACAGGTAATCCCAGAACAGAACTGCATTGATGTGAAAAGAAATCAGAATCTAGCCACTACTGGGTCCTAGTCTCTGACCGACTCATTCCACTGGCAAGACATCAATGAGGCTGCTTCAAGGCACATCTGTTAAGTGATTCTGTGTATTCAGATGGTTTTGTCTGACTGATGTATGTGCTGATGAAGGCTCTGTAGCCACCACATTTCTTTTGTGTATGTTATACTGTGAAGCTCACTGATCTACTTTTCATAAGTTTTTTTAAAATCTTTCCTAGTCTCTGACTGTACTCATAAACATTACTTACTCACCAAGTAAGTGCTAAATCCTGTGTCTGAGTCCGAGTGTAGAAGTTCTGGAAAATGTGCACTGGCCAACTGACTCAGCTCAGACTGGACAGGAAATGGAATAATAGACATCAAATAAGCACATATCATAATAAAAACACATGCAGTGAAATAATCTAACATTCTGTTAAAATCAATTATCAATAGTGACTGCTCCAAGTCAACAAAAATAAACTAACACAAAACGTGTCACCAGCAACTTTTATGTTCCTCGCTAGTTGTGATTTCTCTCAAACTGTTGTTACGTTATCATGAACTGCTTTTTTGTGGGCATTTCCAATGCAGGATACCTTGTGTTTTTCGTGGGAGCAGCATGTATTGTGGTTGTGCTATGTTCAGGCAGGATAATGACTGATAGTTTTGGCAGCTTCAACCATGCTGCCTTTGCAATGTTTTGATCGCGGTGGCCTACTATCCAGTAAGACAGAATCTCGCCAGCAGGGGACTGCAACTGTCTAGAGAGCAAACTCAATACAAGCTGTCTCCAGAAATGCAATGTTTCTACCATTTTTTTTTTAGTGGGGAGGAATCAAAAAAACATACGGTTAAATCAATGGCCATGGCCATTATCTTGTTTTACTGGAGAGCTGCCTAGTTCTACTTCTTGTTTTGGTTTATTTTCTCATGATATACACACAAACTATACAACTGAATATTTCAGTCAATCTGTTTAAACTAAAAAGGAACAGGAAAGAACATCGCTTAGCTGACCAAAAAAATACCACATGCAAAACAAGATAACTGCAACCCAGACAAGATAAAGAAGTATAAGCAAAGATAGGAAGTGCTGGACATGAAATAACACAATGACAGAAGTTATTGTAAAAAGGCAAAAAAATTAATACTTGGCTGAAGACTGTAATATGAATTTGTAGATAACTATTTTCCTGTCAATGAAAATAAAAAGTGTCACTAAAGTTGAGACACACATGTGCACAGTATCTTTAAGGCCACGGCAGAATACTGATATGAGGAAGGTTTTAGCAGCATACTAACTGTGCCTCTGTCAATCACACCTCTGATCACACCAGCTACACCACGGGTAATATACAAATGTAAGAAAATTAAAGTATCCCTCAATGCGTGCTAAAAAGGCACCCTGGACATACAAGGTTAGGCATTTATTATCAGTAATCAAATGGGACATGAGGAAGCTGCTGAAGTGTGTTAGACCTTCACCTGCCAACCCACAAAAATAGGAAGTGTTTAAATCCACATCATGGACAATTTTTAACAAAACTGATCTTAACCTAAGATTTGTTCCAGGTAATGTGCTGGGATATAAAGGCAGCCAGCGTGGTGTGACGACATCACCCATTAAGTGACTACTGGTCTATACAAATATAGGTCATTTCTGTATGCCAGATGTGCCAAATGCATGAAAAGCACGTTTTTCAACTTTCCATGAATGGCACATAAGAAATAACTCAGCACTGTCAACTTTCTATACTCTCTTAGATTTCTTGAAGCCATTATGTAATAACCCCTTATTTCTGACAGCTGGACACTGTCTCAGAGGGTAAGTGCATCACATTTCTCTCTCTCTGCAGGTGTGTGCCTGTGTGTGTCGGTGGGGGGGGGGGGATGTCTCATTTAGCTCTTTTATATCATACTAGCTGTACCCGGCCACGCGTTGCTGTGGCATAGTTTGGCTAAATGGAAATGAAAGAAAATAGAAATCGGCACGTGTCTAATACAATCATTGTCTGCTCAGATATAGAGATAGTCTTTGACCCCCCCCCCCCCCCCCCCCCCCCCCCCCCCCACCACAACTAAATCCACCTACTACTCTCTGTCTCATCAAAGGTTTTTGGAAAAGAAAGACAATGGAAATCGCACGTGTCTAATATAGTTAATGTCGCAATCATTCTCTGCACAGATATAGAGATAGTCTGGTTTTCCAACTTTAGAACACACACCTTATAATTGTGTCTTTATATTAGTGGTCGTTTTAAATGGTGTTATTAACACAGTAACAAAAATGGTTATTTGGTTATCACATGCTAAAGCTGTTTGTATTTTTATAGGGGACGGAAGTAAAGCTACAACTGTACTTGTGAATAACAAAGTAAAGCTACAACTGTACTTGTGAATAACAAAGTAAGTCGTAAAAAATAGAAAAGCGGAGGTAGCGTTAGTAAAATATAAACAAATTAGGTAATGAGAACTTAAAAATCATGTGTAAAGCTCTTTAAGTTCTCTTAAATTTAAGTCATTACCCCCTCCCCTCCCCTCTTCCACCGACTACTGCTCTCTCCCTCTTCAAAGGATTTGAAAATCACTACCTGGCGATATTTTGTTGTTGCTGTAACTGACATTGACATCCCTGTCCATCTGGACTAAAATGGGGAGCAGGAACTGTAATAGGTAGTGAATGGGGCTAGTGTAATATTTACCACATCATCCTTCAAGTACCAGTACAACTACTACCACGACCACCACCACAGTAGCTAAAATAATGTCACTGCTATCTGTGTTATCATCGGAGTAGACAGAGAGTCGTGAGCCAGAAGATTTGGTTCCGCATGGCTAGTGCTGTCACCACAGACTGGTCAGGGTTAGGATGTATAAATTTTCACTTCCCGACAGAAAGAACGCCATATAACCTTACCGGGGGTCTTCACCCCAATGAGAGCACTGTGGTGTAACAGCCCAACCACAACTATTACTGCTGCTGCTACTTTAAGTGGGTAAAGCAGTTACTGTGACTTAAAGCTCTCTCAGTTAATAGTTTGGCCCCCCCCCCCCCCCCCCCCCCCCAAATTCACCAAACAACTCTTTCCCTCATTGAAGTAGTTGGGAGAAAGAAAAAACACTTGAAAAGCAAATGAACACAGGAAAAAAACACCATAATTAGGAAATGAACGCCATGGTAAACAGCACAGCTTAAAATTCCAACGCAGATGAAATAACTAAATCTAAATGAAAATAAATGGAAATCTATGAAATTTCAGGGTAACCATGCAATCGGAAAGTTTAAAAATGCAATCATAAGTATGCGAAATGGTCAAATTTAATTATCAAATGGTTTACCCATTTACTTGTCTTTTTTTTTTAAAAGTATTAAGGCAACATGGCTAGTGCTGTCACCACGACAGAGCAGATGAGGATATTATTTTAGTCCGGGGTAAAAAAAATTTACTACTGCGGATTCCAACCCTGGTCTCCCGCACAGGAAACCAGTGTTCTAACCAATCGACCAAGCAGCCACTTAATCAGATCAACGAAAAAGAGAACTTAACTATTAGAGATGTGTGTCCCTACTACTGTGTCCCGATTATAACACATGTTTTCTCATAGACAGATACTCCAGATATATTAATGAAACGGCACAACAAAAGAAATCGCACGTGTTTAACACGGTTAATGAAGTTAATGTTGCAGTCAATGTCTGCCCCCCCCCCCCCCCCCGCCCCCCCCCCCCCCCCCCCCCCCCACCCCCCCCCCGGTCGAAGGTTGTTTGAAAAAAAAAAAACAGAAAATAGAAATCGTGTTGTTATTGTGGCAAATATAGAGATAGTCTTGTTTGCTGTACCACGACCTATTCTATGTATTAGAGAAAGCGTTGGCTGCACGTAACTCGCCGGCGAATGGTGGAAGCCTTGCGTTCTGACTACGGTGCATGCGCAATTACTAACGTGGCTATAATTAGAAATCACTAAAATTATAAATATTAGTTTAGAATATTATGGCTTAAATTGTGGTCACCTATCTCTAACAGTGACAGGTTGAATTTCAAACCATGATGGTTTAACATCCGGTATCAAAACAAACATATCCTGAAAATTTCAGCTAAATCGGTTCAGTAGTTTCCGAGTCTATAAGGGGCAAACAAACGCACAAACATTGATTTTTATATACATAGATTAAAAAAATAATATAAGCTTATCTAAACATGTTTTGTGTACTCCACTGCAACTTACCATAAGCTTGTCCTCTTCAATGAGGGCTTTATGAATTTTACTCCTAATGTCTTCCAGATCTTTTGCAATTTCTTCGAGCTCTTTAGTATCATGGTTCTGAGGATGACAAGACAAGATACTGGTTATCACAATTTTTTCCCCTTCTAAGCTGCAGTCAAATGGGTGACAACAGTTGCTATTTAACAGACTTATCAAACTTGGTTTTAAAATCTTTAAGTAAAAGGACAAGTAAAAACACAGGTTACTAAACTGTGTAATCAATCTTCTTCCATTTCTCGAGCAATATATTCCAGTATCATGCCTTTTACATACTGAAGATATGCTGCTAGATCAATGTTTCAACGGATCAACCAAGCGGGGTGGGGGGGGGGCAGGGCTGATGGGTCTCAGGGCATCGCAACTCTTCCGCCTTGACTCCATGATAGATACCATAAATCTGGCAGACATGTGACTTTTCTGCCTACCCCTAGGCGTGAACCCGGACCACAAGAAATTTGTCACTTGGTCGCCGCGCAGTCAGGTTTAACCATCTGAGCTAGCAAGCCAGGCACGCACACAAGGAACGCAGAATATTCCTCTATTCTGTCCAATCCCTTCAATATTATGGATGGAATCCAGTCCAACATTTGCCTCTCTCATCAGCATTTGCTTTGGAAGTCCTCGCAGACTCAGTTCCCTCATTTGAACACCTGTCTAGTGATTCTCTGCTTGTCAAGATGTGTCCAGTATAGCGATATCTTCTTTGTTTTATAACTGTTGTTACCAGTGGTTGCCCCGACATTTCTCTTATTTCTTCTCCTCTCTTGAATTCGTCACAGGTTACAGATACCACGCCTCCTTTATGGGCCCAAATAAAATAGAGACTTAGGTTGTCTCACTTTCTAGGATCTGGTACCAATTTAGGAGGCTGTGTTTACTACAGAAATATGATTATGAAAGATAATTATGCCTCAAACATTTATATCCAGGAACATCTGACAAGCAAACAAGTCAAAAATCCTCCATGGAAAAGTGGTGAAGCTGTTTGCCTCATGCTCATAACAGTCATGGGTTCATTTTACGGCCACGTCGGAGACTCTTGGGAATCGTCGCTAGTGCTGCAGTGTTCCTGCTTCGTAAGACATGCTCGGCAGGCGGCTAGCCCTTCTGAGGTGAGAGACTAAGCCATATGGGATAATACCCAGTGCAATGAAGTCGATCTTCTTGACATTAACCTTTAAGTTCCAACCTCACAGCAGAAAGATCATCCAATAACTGCACTGTTTCTGTGCCAGGAAAAACTACATAGCATGTCTATCTCTGTCCCACGTGAAAAGTTAATCAGACTACAGTTATCAGCATGCATATGCATTAAATGAATAAGGCAGCAACCAGAGGTGCCACAACCAACAGTCCACCATATCTTAATTGAGTATAAAGATACCCTCAACCTGAAATGTGGAGTCACTTCAAAATGTAAAGCCAAAACTTTAGGAGAATGTGGAAACTGATCAGGAGAAATGTTTTCCTTAGGTCACAAGAGCAGCCATTATCTCTTTCATGCAACATTTCAACTATTTTTATAATTTCAAATGCAAATTTCAAGCTAGTCTCAATGACAATAATACTGAATGAAAAAAATTACAAGCTGATTCACTTAAAGATAAACACAGACACTGCAATATTGTTTGTTCTCCAGTGTCAATTTTACTGACATCAGCAAGGAGGTTAGTCGGGGGGACTTTTTTCAAAAGGTAACAGATTTGATTGTTCTCTCTTCAGTAAATATGAACAAGTAAGAAAAATCAAATGTGGAAAATATGCTTAAAACTAATTCCTTATAAGGAATGAAATCATACGAACATATTACCCCAAGTTCTCCAACTTACCTCTTCTGCATCCATTTTGTCTGCCAGTTTGTGTCGCAACTTGGACTTCAAAGACTTTAGCTTGCCTTTCACTGTCTGAAGTTCAGCAGTGGAGGGTTTAGCATCTAACCATGGAGAAATCTGTTCCTTGAGAGCAGAAAACTCATGGAGAACATTGGAGAGGTGGTCGACACACATGGCTTCCTCTGACAGCTCACGCAGCAGTGCTTGGACTAAAGAGCCTATGATGATAGCATCTGGACTATTTTCCTGTAAACATAATCATGAACAATGACAGTAGAACATGCCAAAAACTATCTGTCACAGCCATATTTTTACATCACTGTTGCTAACCCATAGAGATTGCAAATGTCTCAGTGCCTTCACACATCACTGTTACTAACCCGTAGACATTGCAAGTGTTCAAAATGCCTCAGTGCTTTTAAATCAAATTCTCTGCAGCATATTTTTTTTATTCAGACTTTGTCTTGAGGTCGCTAATCTACATATTTTACTTTGTGTGTAGTGTGAGAAAGTACCATATTTTTTCATGTACAAGATATGTTAACAAAATTTTTTATGTTCAAAGCTGAGAGGTTGTCTTATGTATGGAATCTGTTTAAAATATCTTCCCCGTGTGGGTTCCAGGGTCTCCTTGTGGGGGAAAACAAGAATAGACCAACTGGCTCCCCAAAACGCATGTCGTGGAAGGTGACTATTGAAGTCAGACTGCACCTGCCCGCGTGGCAAGGAACAAACACTGCACACAAACAAGCCAGTAACATGGATGTACACACAAAACTCTGGCCCTGGCACAAAGTCAAAGTCCAAATGAATGAACAATTAGGACCTTCGGCTGGAGCTTACAGCCGGTGAACAAAGAAGAAGAATTTAAAATATTTCTCAATTTTGCCCCCCCCCCCCCCCCCCCCCTCATAAAAAATCAATTTAGGATTGTCTTATACATGGGGGGAGGGGGGTCTTAAACACAGAAAAATATGGTATATGTTCAAATAAACATAGGTTTTCTTTCTTGTGTCACTAGCTGTCACTCTTAACCCTGTGAGAACCTTTCTGTACTATACTACCCTAAAAAGTGGTAAAAACATGGAGTGAAGATGGTAAAGATCTTGTGAAAAAATAAACACATGAAAGCATGGGTGGCTGCAGACAAGCTAATTCTAAGAAATTAACCACTAAATTGTGACTAATTGAAAGTCAAAGGGGAACAATGTACACACACAAGAAAAGCCTTTCTCGACAAAAACTACAACAGGGTGAAGGGTGTGTGTGCGTGTCTGTGTGTGTGCACACGTTATTCCTCATCTTCCCTTCGTTAAGCTTCTTAGTCATAGTTCACTGGATTTTAAAAATAAATGAATTTACTTACATTCATTTACTTATCAGGTGACCCATGCCATGACCCGTCAATGAGGCTTAAGGGAAAATATAACATCAACTTGGCGTTATAAAAGCTATTCGGTTCATAGGAAAACTCTCCTTAATTCTATTTTTAGCTAACATATCCATGTCATGACTTCCTAAACGTTCGCATAGGCGTCAGCCAATGACATTAACTCTATGTCTTATAAACATGTCACTGTAGACAAGTCTGAAAAGTGACATTTATGGGGAACAGGACCCAACCATAATCACTGGCTTTGCTGCTTCTCACAGCGACAGAGTTTGAGGAATGTATTAGAATGAAAGTATGTAGTTCTTTCATGACATACTTACTGTATCAGAGACTGTTACTTCCTGCTGCAAAGCTTTAGCGTAATTTTTCAAAGTGGAATCAAGGTCATCAGAAGATTCTGGTTCCACACATTCACAACTGATGGATATTTGCTGCCAAACAAAAATGGAGAGATAACATATAAACTTGAATGTTTTTCTGTATCACTGTCTTCACAGCATAATCACAAACATGTATTTATGCAATCTTTAACATGCACATGCACAGATAGAAGTTTGTAATCCTTTCGACCGGGGAACGCTAAAAAAAATGAATTAGTCCAGAAAAAGTCCTTTGAAGAAAAGTTTTACATTGGTTACTAATAAATTCATAAAAAATGTATTTATCTACATTATTTCTGAAATTTCTACAGATATATGAAGGAATGAGTCAATAAATATAAACAGGGTGAAGTATTACATAGAATACATTCTCCGAGGAATTTTAAAAAAATAAAGCGTATGTATCAGCTGACTCAGGCAGTGACTCTATGACCTCTATCACTAAGGCCTACATGAAAATTTGATGTCGACTTGATTTTTAAAAAAAAACTATTTAGCTAAAAGAACACCTCCCGCATCCCTCCTCCCCCACCAAGGATTTTTTTAGTTAATGCATTCATATCCTGACCTCTTGAAGGTATGCGCAGACAAAAAGCCAATATTACTAACTTTCTGTCGCGTAAGCAGTGAAATACAGACAAGTCAGAAAAGTGACATTTACAGAGACTTAGCATCAATCTGAAATGTCAAAGATGCGGGAGTGGGAGAGAGTCAGAAAGAAAGAAAAGGAAGACAATAAAAATACAAAAAGAGGGAAAAAAATCAGTTTAAATGCAATAAAACCAATATTTTTTCAACATTTAAAAACATGTAAATCACTGTTCAGTACTGACTTCATTCATAAACAATGTTATGTGTCTTAATGTTAATCAAACTAAGAACAGGCGATTTAAAAAATCAGCAAGTAAAACAGTCTATTTTAAAAAACTAAGAACAGGCAATAAAAAAAATTAGCAAGTAAAACAGCTGTAATACTCACAGTTTTCAACTGCACAAAGGCTGCATTTACTGAGGACTCCATCAAGTCACTAAAACTGCGACATTCTATAACCTCACCCTTTTTCTTTTCCTGAAATTAACAATTTAAAAAAAAAATTAACACACTAACCTTATTTACAAAAGGTAGCAGTTCAAACTAACATAAAGAATGGTAAAGTCTTATCTTCTAAGCATTAACACTGGTGCAGCAGTCAAACTGGCTGCCCTACCTCATTATGTCATGGCCTAGAATATCAGATCATCTCAATTCCAACTTCGTAGCAAACGGGTCACGCAAAAGCTGCTCTATTCCTGTGCCAATGAAAACCACACAGAAGGTTTTTCACTGTGCCTTGTGGAAAACTTAGACTGCAGTCTCAGCAAATCCAATAGTATACAAATGCATTAAATGCATAAGGCAGCCTTTAAAAGTGCCAACATAAACAGTGCGACACTGGAAATGCAGTTCTTCGTGAACGGAAGCAGCAGTTACAACAGATCAGTAGTTACGTATTTTCTGAATCTACAGTTCACACATCAGAAACAATGTTGGGCACAGTCGAAAAGCTTTCCAAATGAAATCAGCAGCTCAGTGTCAGGCATGCACTCAACTCAGTAGCTGGGCAACAAAATTATATCCATTCAGTTTACGTATGGAGAAAAATGTAACAACTAACTATTGATTGTCATAAGTAAATACTTGCCACAACTAAAAACAGTAAGCCTGTCCATCATCAATATTGACCGAAAGTCAATAATTAGCCAAGAATATGTAGAGGTCTAAAACTTCACATCTCAATGATTATATCTGCCTAGGGAATACACCTTTTTCTTAAAGCTGTGATAATGCAAAAATATATGCGACAATGTTGAGCTCCCGGTGTATATATTTTTGGCTCAGTGCGTGTACAGATATATACAACAATAAAATGTAAATGGCCATTACATGTGGGCATAGATGAGCAGTGTGTGTGGAGAGGGAAGAGATAAGAAATGATAGTGAAAGAAGTATTGGGGGTGGGGGGAAGACAGCAAAGAAGAAAGTAGAAAAGAATGTGAGGCGCCTGAGAACCATGTTTCTATAATTAAATGATTAGCATAAAAATAAAACTACATCAATGACACATAGTGGGGTTGATGAAAAAGAAGCACCAGATGGGACAAGAGAAAGAAGCAATGGACGAGGGTCAACAAATAAAAAAGACAGGGTCCGCAGCCAAATTTACCCCAAAAATTCAAGGCTTTTCAAGTGCTTGTCAAAGTATTCTTAGTTTTTGTAAAAGTTGTTTCAAGGCAATACTAAGGCAAGGTATTTTTGTCTTGTGCAAAATTTAAGGACTGGTGCGTAAAGTTACAGGATTTTCATCAGTTTTCATAAAAATTCCAAGTTTATCCCCAAATGTGAGAGGAATCTTGCATTCCCTGGCCTTTTCAAAGTTTTAAGGCCCACTATGAATCCTGGAAAGAGAAGAAGAAAAAACAGGAAAAGGTAAGCTAGGTGCCTAGAGCTAGTTTCTACAATTCTTCTTCTTCTTCAGCATAAAGAGCTCGAGGTTCATTGCTACAGATATCACCCACCTCCATTCATCTCTCTGACTGGCTTCTCTTTCCAGTTGGTGACACCAAGTGTTTGCATGTCTGTCTGGACATTATCTCTTCATCTTCTTCTTGGTCTGCCTCGTGGTCTACCACCATTCATCTATCTTGTGTATAGTTTTTACCTCTTTGTCGCTTCTCACTCTCCATTCCCCGTAGTTTGATGGGTCCAAAGATTTGTCGTAAGATGAATAACTTTACTTTCGTAAAACTTTATCTTGTCACCAAACAGATATCTAAGTTTCTATAATAAATTAATTAATAGAGAAATAAATATTAAACCTTCCAATCCTGAAACGATGGTATCAGACTGTCTATGGGTGGCAAATTTGGGATTGGTATCTTGATAAAAGCGTCATAATGTTTTGTCAAGGCTGCAACAACATCCTGTTCATAAAGAAAGCAAAAGATGTCAGTGTTGTACCTGTTAACTTGTCAGGTTTTCTCTTTCTTTTCTCTCTTTCTTACTAAGTATGCACAAAAAAGACACAAACACAAAAATACACAGCAAAACAAAACAAAAATGACATCTGATATGCAGTCATTACTAATCACAACTATTGTAAACAAACTTGAATGAAATCAAGGACGACTGATTAACCTTATTAATAAACCTGTCAAGGAGTGACAATTTATTGCATTCTATTATAACTTACATTCATGCCAGTACAATATATTTTTCCGTGCGATGTGACCATGTCACTCCCTAAGCGACAGCTGGTCTATAAAAATATATGTCTAGCATCACATATCTAATGCACCACATATAAAATCATTGTGCTGATGAAGCGAACAATGAGGTATGTGAAATAAACCCACAACCTTCACAGGTTACAACAAATAAATGGTTTAACCATTTAGCCAAAGACAACTACTGATAAAAGAAACAACCAAGAAACATTTTTTTATTTCTTGAAAAAAAATTACTTTGAATTTCCTTGATGTCCTCATCTGTGTTTAACCCTTTCGCTGCTATGGACCTACATTTATGTCTGCCCGGTAGACTGCTAAAGACGTATTAATATATCTGAAGTTTTCTGTGCCCTCACTGCTAAGGACACATTAATATGTTTTTGATTTTTTAAAATAGATTGCTAAGGATCGTAATTCTCTGGAGTAAAATATCAATACATATTACCTAACTCTGATCAAACTGACCCATTTACATACAATTAAAACCTGTATCACGTGCATTTGGGTGTATTTATATGCATTCCATGTTATCCCGTTGCTTTGTTACCATAAAAGCGAGGTTGGTGAGCGGTGTGTTTTTTGCCCTGAAATATATTTCTGGTTTTGCGTTAATACAAAATTAAAAGAAAATTTATAATTAAAGTTGACGAAGAATTAATGGAGTTTCTTTCAAGGAGTAATAGTAAGGATCACTTTGAAATGTATGAGTTATGAGGTGGGTCATCTTCACGGCACGCCGACAGACATGTGTACTTCTGGCCGTCAGCAACACTGACCTCTTGACCCATCCATCTACATCGACTGGATTGAAATGGATCCCAAAATATCATGAAGAAGATATGGTATACTGACATAATGATTAAAATTATTATTTCTTGTATACTATACAACAGACAAGAATGTGTCTGTCTATCAAAGTGTACAATACTGGTCCTAATATCAGTTCCTTTTTCATATGAATTTCTAGTGTAGTTGGTATCACGTCTGCTTCACAGTCGAAAGGTTCTGCGTTCAACCCCTACATACACCTGCCTCACAATCAAAAGGTCCTGTGCATTCAACCCCTATATGACTTTTTTTTCTTCAAATGTAAATTTTAAATTTCAGCTCTTAGCAGTTTCGGCAACACATCACCAAAGTATTATTTATATTTTTTTAAAGTAATAACATGACGAATACATTTAATTATGGCTAAGCAGTAGATTTATGGATCCGATGGGGGGAATTGCCATCAGTGCGAACTGTAATTCATGAGTCACGGCCTGAGGTGAATTGCTAGGATTCTCCTAGACCAGTTTTTCTGTAACCCCTTAGAATTTTTGGTCAATTCTGTGAAACAATGAACGGGCCAGGAAACGGTAAGAGCCTCAGATGCACTCAGGGCAATGACTAAACATATGGCAATGGTTGAGACAATGATGAAGTAGAAGCAGGAAAAATAAAAATTGTCTTGCAATATCCACCTGCAAGGAATGTAAGGCAGTTAGAACATTCAAAGAATGTTCCTACTGATGATTGGAAGGCTACTATTGTGTTCCCTACGCTGTGGAGTTTCTACTACACATGTGGTAGCGGTGAAGACAAAGATAGAATTGGCCGAGGATACATTTTCTTTCACTATCCCGAGTGAAGCCAGACAAATAAGTATTGTTTCTAGTGCTTCCTTTCTGTAAATGTGTTTCTTAGTGTTGCCATAGTCCGTCTGATTTGCGTCATCAGCTACTTACCTAGGGTAAATATTTTCAGGTGTACAAAATAGAGCCCTCACCGCCAAACTATTATTTACGTTTGGAGGATAGAAAAGTATTCAGCACAGTGGGAAAGTTCAGCGGGGAACTTGTTTAGCGCAGCGGTAACATTCGCTGGCTGGGTAAGAAGCAGCAAAAGGGATAAGAAACACTAACAACAAACCTACAAACAAACAACATCAGTACCTGGACTTGCTTTCCTCTGTCTTGCAAGGGAACTTTGTTCAACTCCTGGATTGTTGTATTCAACTTGTTATGCAAGTCCCTTCGTAAATTGTCTCTAGTTTCTATTTTCTCTTGAAGGACAGCCTAATGAAATTACACATTTTTATTATTACAATTTCTGACCATGTGGTCAAAAACAAGTTAGTGAAACAGGAGTCTACATGAGCACTGCATGCTTCATATATATTCAATAAAACTTACTTGTCAAAACTTGAATAATAACTCTATAATCTTTGGATGCCTAGCTCCTCGTGTGGGTTCCGGAGTCAAATTGTATGGAAAACAAGAAAAAACCCGCTGCCTTCCCAGCAAGCATACTGTAAGAGTCAACTAGCTGGGGGATTCCTTTGAAGTCGGAATGCATCTGCCTGAGAGGCAGGGAACCAACAATCTGCATACAAATAAGTCAGATCTGTAAAACATATGTGCACGTAACACTCTGGTTCTGGACAAGCCTAAAGTCCAGAGGTGAACTAACAACCAGAACTTTCCACCAGAATTTACAGCCGGTGAATGCGAAGAGGGAGAAGAAGATGCTTAGTCTGAAGCAGACTTCAATTCTCCAACCATTATGTGAGGTTTAACAGAGATCAGGACCTGTTCATGTTGGATTAATATCCAAAACATGGCTCAAGAGGTCACTGTGGTGCCAAGAATTCAGGTAGCAAACCCTGAACCACATAAACAATTAAACTGATATTTCTTCATTATTCTGTGTTGTCCACCTACACTGTTTCCTTTTATCTTCCTGTCGAGTAATGTCCTATGTTTATTGTTGAATTAATAATCAACATCACAGCACTCAGGACATTCGCATAAGCGCTCCATTCCCATCTTCAGTAGCAAGCGTAGAGTTCTCATTCCAATAGCACCAGTAACAGTCTGATTGTATATCAGCCTCACCTCTCCCTTGAGCGTCAGCAAAATCCCCTGGTCATCCTCATAGCACCATTCTCCTAGGACTGTGATGATCTATTTATGCCTCCTCACTGTTCACCTGCTCCTAAAGGACCCTTACAATATCTAGATTGCCATGTATAAATTCATTACCAAGTAGTGCAGAACCAGCCCATCTACCTGCCTTTTCATTTCCTTTTATACCGGCATGTACTGGAGAAAAATATCCAAAGGACGATAATTATCCGGGACCTTTGAAGCGATGCTTGCCACTCTGTGTGAGCGTACCTATCTCCACCTTTCTCAACATGCTTCGTGAGTCGGTTACTATTATGACATGTGCGTACAGCTGATTCCCAAGCCAGTGAAAGGCTGCAGTGACTGCCTCCACCTCCATTCTCAAACTAGATGATGTGGTATATAAATGAAGCCTAGACTTTTGTAGTCTTGTATGAAATGCTAGTATATAAAAGAAACAAAGAATAATAATGATACTGTTATTTAATATGCATGTTGCAAAAAGCAACTGTGACCAGCTACTTCAGACTGTAGACAACTTTAAAATCCAACCAGCAATAAACAAATCTACAAGGGTTCTTGACTGAGTTTGTTGAGGGCTCATGCTCCATTAAAAGACAACAGGAAGAAAAAAAGGTGTATTCTCATGACATCATGTTCTTTCCACTCTTTAAAAAAAAAATGTAAACACAGTGAATGCACACATGAATTTTAGGGCCAAGATTGTCAGAAGATTTGAGCATATCATCCTGTGCACTTTTACTTACTCACATGCAAACAAACCCATATACACACCGGTTTTCTAATATTCACTTTGTATGCGCCATGTCAAAATGTGAAAATTGTGCTTGGTATATAACCTTTGTTTGAAATAGAACCTGTGTGCTAGAACATGTGTTTCTCATCCAGGTCCAAAAAGAGAAAAGAGAGAGAGAAAAAAAGAGGGAAAAAATATAACATAGGGGACTCTCCTTCCAAACAACGACAAACTCCTTCCTTCTCAGCAAAATCCTAACAGGCACTCGACTCTTCACAACAAGGTAAAATGAGTTTAATTTTCAATTATTTAATCGAATTGTTTTTGTATTTATGTATTTTAATATTAAGCAGAGTTTATTTTATACAACCCCATCAATTTATAATATGTTAGAAACAACAGGATTTTTTAAAATGGGAACGGATTAATCATTCTCCCTTTACTTCTTGTGGAAAAATGTGTTTGCTATAGTCCTGTCCTGAGGGTTGTTATGGCAGCGAGGTTCCGCGAGGGACATGCTACTGAATGAATGAATAGTCCTGTCTGGTATAAGTTCAAGGATCTGGAACGGACTAAGGACATATACTGAGATACTACTATATATATGTACGTTATGTCTTACATTGTCAGAGCACTTGAGAATATCATCCTGTGCATTCTTGCAAGCATTGATTGCACTGATGACCTCTGGAAGTGAGGCTGCCATGCTGACATCAATTTTGTCACAACCTTGAACTAAACTGATGGCCACATCCAACGGGGTATCCTTGTCAATGGGAAATTGGTTGCTGTAGAACAAGTGAAAGATGACCATAAGTTGAAATATACACAATCTCTCAATTATGCACAATCTCCCCATAAATATATTACAAATAAATGATGATTAGCTAATAGACACAGTTTCTGCCTCAACAGCTTTGCTCTACTAACAGACCAAGACACAGAATATTTCAGGATCTCACAAGCATTTATAATGCATGGCTGCTCATGGGAACAGCTCATGGATCCACAAGAATAATTTATATAACAAATTGAAATTCTATAAATTATGAAATTCTAGTTTTCTGAAAATTTGTCAACAATTTAAAACATTAAAATAAACAGGCTATAAATTTGGCAGTCCGTCCCTGGATCGTCAATTAGACTGCAACAGTTCCGTATGAACAGAAATGCGAGACTGACTTTCGCCTAGGCCTGTGGAGCTCTGAATCATGTAGTAGCACCTGGCCTCCCCCAGGGTTCTGCCATTTCACCACTGCTTTTCAATGCATACACAAGCAGGATAGCAACAAAAGAGACAATAGATATATGGAGAATCTTGACTTTTGCTGACAATGTCTTAATCTACACACAGAGGAGAAACAGAAAATAAATATTGAGTGTACTGCAGGTCGTGGTAGATCAGGTAGTTGAGTGGTGTGAAAAAACAGGCCCGATCATTAATCCAGATTAGGCAACAGTGTTCTGGTGTTTTTTTAAAATAACAGAATTGTTAAAGATGTCTCGCCGGACATCACAATAAACAGCAGTAACAAAAGAGAGATAATTCCCTAAAATATCTAAGAATTACTTTTGACAGGAGTCTGTCCTTCAAATAACATGTGCAAGAGGTAGTTTTAAAGAACGCTTTGAAGTGGATGGCATCAGCAGGTATGAAATAGAAAATGCTCTATACACTCCACCAGCAACTGATTATTTCGGTAATGGAGTATGGCTTGGGACTGCTAGCTAAAATGATCTCATACCCAAAAAGAGAAGCTGGAAGGCATACGAAGGGCATATGAAAGATACAAGGTGTTACAGGCTAAAATGTTCCTTAAAGTCACTACAGAGCAGGCTAATAGATTAGCTACTGCAACTTCTCTGGGCAGTGAGCTTCTTTATGATAAAGTGGATGTGAAGGCTCTATGTGATCAAAAAGACAGTGCAATAGAACAGATAGGGGATCCATATACTGAAAAACTAATCCAACTTGGGGGGGGGGGGGGGGGGGAAGAGTGTGTCTGAGGGGAAAACAGGCAGACTTTTAATCAGGTTGCAACCGGTACTATTAGCATGTCAAGTCTCCGTTGGCCACTGAAGAAGAGGACGGAGCACAAGTGGGAGTGTCCTGAGTGCAGTGATGACAATTCTTGATTGACCTGATTCATTCATTTGTATTAAATAAACAGACAAAATAAGACGGCGCACAGAATACTTACCGCAGTTTTTTAACCATGCTGGACAATATCTGGAGATTCTTTATCTAAATGGACCAAAATAGACACAAGAAAAGTTGGGCACAAAGTTGGATTGGGGGGGGGGGGGGGTAACTCTATAAATACAACCAGAGCATCTAAATGGCTGCACTAATGAAAACACATTTCTAATACACCAAACCAACATTTCCAATCAGTGAATTCTTCTTTTTCTTCTTCGCGTTCTCTGGCCTGTAAACTCTGGCGGAAAATACAGGTTTTTTATCCACTTCTACACTTTACTCTTGTTCCAGTGCCTGACTTTTGTCTGCACATCAGTTTTACAAATCTGACTAATCTGTATGCACTGTTGGCTCCCCATCTCTCTGGCAGAAGTACTCCAAGGAAACCCCTCTAATTAGTCCTCTCCTATGACATGCTTGTTGGGATTAGTGGGTCTATTCCCCTACCTCACCACCATGGGGCCCCAAAACCTCGGTTACTTAGAGCTTATACAATGTCCGACAATAAAGTAATGAGACTAATTCCATAAAACTGCCAATTACTGCCTTTATTACCACTTTTGCGGTGTAGGCAGGGGGTCTTTAAGCCTGAGGATTTACGGCCACATGGCTAGTGCTGTCACCATGACTGTGCAGGTGAGGATTTTATTTCACCCTCGACAGAAAATAATCTCCAGCCTCACCGAGAATTCAAACCCAGATCTCCTGCTTGAGAACCCAACATTCCAACCGCTCGGCCAGCAGCTCCTCAACTGCATAAAAATTAAAATAATCAACAGAGGATATAACCAGTATTTTATGCAAAGTAAGCCCCCTGTGCCTTGATACAGCGAGTGGCTAGATCTAACAAACACTAGAATGACCTCTATAGTTCTTCAGTTTTTATAGCCCTTACAAAGTCGATGTTAAGGCCCTCTGGATGTCATCAATATGGTCAAAAGGCATCCTTTCAATGGTAACTTTAATTTTTGAATAGAAAATAATCACAGGCAAACAAATCTGGGGAATGGGTGGATGGTTGAGAACACACAATTGTCTTTGGGCCAAAAATTTCTGTACAACTACCGCCTGGTGAACTGGTGCATTGTCATGAAGGAAAAAACTGCCAGGTGTTGATTACAGGGGGGCAGACTCGGAGAATCCTTTTTAACAGACATTTCAAAATACTTAAATAAACTGTGGCTGTGACAATCTATCCCTCTGGAATAAATTCTTTGTGAATAACTCCTTTGCTGTCGCAGAAGCACACCAACATTGTCTTCACTTTCGACTTTTGAAAACATATTTTTCTGCCTTTTGGTGATGATGATGACTTTTACTGAGCACCATGAAATCCATGTTTTGTCCTTTGCAACAATCACATTTAAGAAATGTTGCTTTCTGTGACATGTTTTGATGTCTTTTGCATACTCAACATGATGTTTTTGGTCATCAGACAACAACTATGGTACAAACCGGCAGGTATGGCTCTTTTTCTGAGTTTTAAGCATAATTTTATGTAAGCTATTTGCTCCATGCTGATTATGTAACAATGCATCTCTGACTCGGTGAACAAAATGGTGGCTTGTTTTTTGTCTGCTTATCGGATGGCGATATAAAGATCATAGATAAAGATAGCCTCTTTAGATTCCATGCTTTGCTTCATAGATGGCATTTTTGTCTTGGCCATAATAAAATCAGTCTTATTACTTAATTGTCGAACCTTGTATGTGAAGCAGGAAATCGATGTCAACTAAAACAACTGACAGACACATAATAGCAATATGACATACCTGCAATGATAGATCATTCTCCTGTGCTTTGTTGGACAAAGATGTGTACTCAGTCTGCAAATTCTGCAAACAAAATATCATGGATATAGCAGGTGACATTCAAAATCAAAAACACCATTTTATACTTTTTTTTTAAAATCTTTTTTTTTTCTTTTTCAACACCCCAACACACTATGTTATTTACGATTTGGCAAACAATTTCTAAAAACATTTCAAGCAATGGTAGGTTCTATGGACAGTTAATTCAAGAGTGCAACATTTGCACTGGGTATAAATGCAAACAATCCAGATATTCATGATTTTGTTTTTCAGAAAATTCAGAATGCTGAATTAAAAACTGACCACACAGCACTCAGGACACTCCCATAAGTGCTCTGTCGCCATCTTCAGCAGTAAGAAAAGAGTTCTAATTCTGATGGTACCAGTAACTATCTGACTATATATCCATCTCGCCCTTCCCTTGATTGCTGAGCATCAGCCACATCCCCTGGTAACTCCCTGCAGCGCCATTCTCCCCAGACGATAATGATCTATTTGTGCCCCTGCATTGCTCACCTGCTCCTAAAGGGCTATCACAACAAGGGTAAAGAACCAGCCAGTCTATCTGCCTGCTCATTTCCCACAACACCGGTATGACCTAGAGGAAATATCCAAAGGATGCTAACTACCCGGGACCTCTAAAGTGATGCTTGCCATTCTGCATGGATAATGCCTGTCTCCACATTTCTCAACATGCTCTGTGAGCCAGTTACAATCGCAGCATGCTCAAGCCAGTGAAAGGCAGCAGTGACTACCTTCACCTCCATTCTCAAACTAGACGTTGTAATATCATATGCCAGACTCTGTTGCACTAAGCGATGTCCATTTGCTCTTGCTATGAACCATGCACTTCATCTGCCCCTCAATACAGAGCCGTCTGTGTAGATAATCACATCACCTTGGTGGTAATTGTAATGAATCATTTGCTGAACTTCTGATTCTGCAGGCCCAGCTGGCCAGTCCCTGCACTCACAACCTAGAGTGATAAGAACCCTACACACGGGAAACGGTAAACCCTATTAATAGGAGATGTAATTTGCCTACTTCCCACTGCTAGCCTGAAGGACAGGTCAGAGACAAAGGTGTTCTTGTTCTTTAAAATCAATGGCAGGGGCAGAATTTGATAGTTATTATGGAAAGGATGAGACAATAAAGTTCAGTTTCAGTTTGTTGCAAATAAAGAAATGAAGAATGCATTTTTTTAAAAACATTGTCTGCACAATGGAGAGAACTAAAAATGCAAGATTTTCTTCTTCTTTTTCGATCCTTCTGTCAGAAAACTTATATCAGGAGGCCGGTAGCCTTTATGAAAGCTATCATGCAGTCCATATCCTCTCGTGTACCAAACAGTTTTTTCTTCACTGTGAATGGAACAGGCCAGATTGCATCTCTGTTGTCAGCATACAGTTGACAGTGTTGGAGCACATGCTCAGCATTTTCTGGTGCCACACTTCAGAGACACGTCTCCGTGTTTCCTACACCCAAAACTTTGAACATATGTTGATGAAGTCTGTTGTGCTCTGTCCTTAGTCTGAATGCAAGATTCAAAAGCTTCTGACAAAGTGAAATATCAAAACCTTTTCTAAATTTTGCATAAACTCAAAACAGATCAGAAATATTGCAGGATAATAATGGATATCCGTTAAAAGCAAGAATCTGCTGTAAAATCAGAAGAATTGAGTGAATTCAGAGCAACTGTTGCGACAAGTAGGTTTTTTATCACCTGATCTATTAATTATTTATACTGACTAATAATCAAATCATCCAACATCTTGGAAGCCCAAAATATAAATATTCTACAGATGACAATTTTAATAGCAGCCAGCAAACCATTATTCATAAGGTGGTGAGGAGGACAAAAGAAAAGGGATTTGATATTCATAAAGAAATACAAATGTAAAATTATATGATGTCGTGGCTCCTGTTGTTTTTTGTTTTGTTTTTGTTAAATCAAATAAATTTTCATCTTCTTCTTCTTCGCATTCACTGGCTGTAAAGTGGAAAGTTTTGGTTGTTCATCAACTTCTGGATTTTAATCTTGTTTCAGAACCTGGGTTTTGCAAATCTGGCTTATCTGAATGCAGACTGCTGGTGTTCCATGCCTCAAAGGAAACAACCCTAATTAGTTTACTTTTACAACATAAGGTTGGGGTCGTTGGGGGGCCTCCTATCCCACCCCCACCCTCCGCCTCACAATGAGGCACCAGAAGCCACACTTGAAACCAGACATCTCTTTTTTAATGACCTAGGCTCCCAAGTCAACACAGCCTAAAATGGGGGTCGGGACATTTTGCAGGAAGTAAAGACATTGCTCAGTGGACTAAAACCATTAGCCTCATGGTGTAAAATGGGGTAAACATTTTCAATAATCTCATTGAAATCCAAAGTCCTTAAAGAGATTTCGCTGAAAGAGTATCTAAATTAAATTAACCAAATCAACTATTGTAATGAAAAAGACAAATGAATGACGTAAGCTCCTAGTCCATTTTTTTTCTTTCAGAAAATGTTTACCTTTAATTTCCATCGAAGATTGTTAATTTCATCTTTCTCAGTTTCAAATTTTCTCTGGCCATCTCGCTGATTCAGTAAACCTCCTTTAAAACTACAGAGTACAACAAATTATTTGTGTTAAGAAAAACACAAAATATCCCTTCAAATAATAGAAGTAAGTAATAACATACAAATATTTTTTTTGCACAGATACATTTCAGCTGAAAATACTGAACAGAGAGTTGAAGCATTGGGCTGAGAACATGAGTTTTGCATGCATATATGTTTTGCAGACCTGGCTTAGTCATCTGCAGACTGTTGATTCCCAGCCTCTCAGACAGATGCTCTTTGACTATCAAGGAAACAACCCTAATCAGTAACCCCCTACAAAATGCTTGTCAGAGGGGCAGTGGATCCATTCCCCCCCCCCCCTTCCCTCCAAAAAGGCCCCCGGAACCAACACAGGGATAAATATGAGTCTAATATTCAAAACTGCAAAGGACTGTTTAATATTTGTCACCTCATATTTTTCCACTTTGTTGTAAAATAAAACTGGCTTTCTAATCTACCACTCAGCAATCAGAAGGAATGGAAGTATGACATCTTTATATCCTCCTTAATCCCATACAGGCTAAATATTCATAATGAGCTTAGTGAAAAGTGACAAACCGGTATGTCAAGATTGTGTAGCAGTGTTTATAACCCCTTAAGCACAAACCCTAACAGCAAAAACATAGATCCCATTTAACAGTCAATAAATCAATTAAAATGAATAAGATAAATGACATCAAAAAAACGGAATCTTCTTCTTCTTCAGCATTCTGAGTCCTTGAGGTTCATTGCTGCAGATATCAAACAGCTCCACTCATCTCTCTGGCTGGCCTTCTATTTCCAGTTGACGACATAAAGTATTTGCAGGTCTGTCTGGATATTATCTCTCCATCGTCTTCTTGGTCTGTCTCGTGGTCTACGACCACCTATCTCCCTTGTGTATAATTTTCCCTTCTCTGTCATCTGACATTCTCTCAATATGCCCCAACCATTTCAGTCTATTAGCTCTCATGATGCTAGTTATCAATGGTGATTTAAACAGATTATGAATTTTGTTGTTGCTTCTCACTCTCCATTCCCCTCTGTTTACATATTCAATGGGTCTAAAGATTCATCGTTAAGACTGTTTTTAAAAACCTGTAGTAAAGCTTGATCTCTTTTAGCTGTCCTCCAAGTTTCAGAGCCATATAAAACGAGTGGTCTTATCAACATTTTATGTATTCTGATCTTGGTGTTGCAAGACAGAAACTTTGACTTTAACAGATGTTGAAGGGCATAGATTACTTTATTTCCAGATTGTATTCTTGATTGTATTTCTTCTCTTAACATGTTAGAACAGTTGAAGTTTGCACCCATGTACTTATATGTTTCCGGTCGTTTGATTTTCATTTTATCAACTTGAATTTGGATGGAGTTTATATCCTTTCCCTAATTAGTTATTATTATGTATTCTGTCTTATCTTGATTGATAACTAGTCCCATTTTTTAAGCTGAATAGTCCAAAATAAATACTGAGCTGCATAGACCAAAAATTTGAGTTTATAAGCCTAGCTCACTCAAGAGTTTACCCTGCAAAGTATAATAATGTATTCCATGTATAATAGCTTCTGAGAATAAAAAACAGTCCTAAAGAAGGTAAACAAATAATAAGCCTCTGCAATGGAAAATTACCTATTGTTACTGTTGGTGTCCCCATCAGCTCCTTGATTTCTGCCTTTCAATCCTCTTTGTTCAAGTCCAGGTTTTCTAAAAGCAAGATTGTTTTCCAGCATCTTCTCATTGAGACATACACCATCGATGTAAATATCAGCAAAAAAGCCAGTGTGATCGGACAAACGAGCAGTTGTGTAGACTTCAACCTCCTTGCCTTCAACCATCTCCCTCACAAATTTGATTGCCTAGAATATAGGAACAATATAAGTGGGTTTCACATAAAAGAATACCTGTAGTTAAAAACTGCCTTAAAAATTAAATAAACATCTTGTGACCTTCTTCTTGTTCTGTCTCCTTTTGTCTTTGTTTGACAACTCATCAATATTTTCTGGGAATGTTGAATTATAAATCGACATAATAGCACTAGGGACACTCCCATAAGCGTTCCATCCCCATCTTCGGCAGAAAGCAAAGAGTTCCAATTTTATTCACCATTAACTGTCTGACTATATTTGTCTTTGCTCTCCACTGAGTGTTGGCCAGATCCCCTGGTAACTCCTCGCAACACCATTTTCCCCAGACTGTAATGATCTATCTGTGCCTCCACACTGTTCCCTCACTCCTAAAGGGCCCTCACAATATCTAGCTTGTCATACATCAGTTCAACACCAAGGGTGCAGAACCAGCCAGTCTATCTGTCTTGTTCATTTCCCAACACACCAGCATAACCTGGAGAAAATATCCAAACAATGCTAACTACACAGGACCTCTAAAGTGATGCTTGCCACTCTGCAAGGATTATGCCTGTCTCCACCTTTCTCAACATGCTCTGTGAGTCAGTTACAATCACATCATGTATGTACAGCTGATTCTCAAGCCAGAGGAAGGCAGCAGTGAGGCAGTGACTGCCTCTACCTCCATTCTCAAACTAGGCGTTGTGATATCATATGCCAAGCTTTGTTGCACCAACTGACATCCATTCACTTTTACTATGAACCCCCATGCACTTTGTCTGCCCCTTAAAAAAGAGCTATCTGTATGGATAATCACACCACCTCAGCTTCTGTTTCAAACAGTAATAATACTATACAGATACACACATATTATGAATGAATCAAGCACAATAAAGTTGTGATTTTCAGAAACATAAAGTTATGAAGCATTGCAGAGATGAGTTAGATGTAGTTTCCTGTCCTTTGTTAATTACGCAGCTTGTGTTAATGTCATATTCCGTTTCTGTGTTTTTTTCCTCTGCCCATCTCTTTCTCTGTCCCCAATTTTTCCTTGTAGTCTGCTGTTCTCATGCAGTGTGTTCTGGCTGCTGGCTGATTTTGTTCCATTCTAACTAGACGACCAAACCATTTGATTCTTTGATGTTCTATGAAATCATGTACTGGCATCGAGCCTAACATTATTCTTAGTTCTTCATTGCTGACTCTCTCTTCTTGTTTTTCCAGCCACATTTCTTAAGCATCTCATCTCACATGCAATGTTGTGTTTCTTTTTTCTAGGACTGTCAGTGATTGGCACTGATGGCACAACGCTGTGACCACTAACACTTTAGCTATTATGACTCAAATTGATGAATTAATAAACTAAGTTGTCTGGTAGCCTTAGTTTCAGCTTCATAGCAAACGGGTCACCCCATCTTTGCTCCGCTCCTGTGCCAACGAAAAACACACAGAATGTTTATCACAGTATTAGAATTGCAGTTCATCATTGATGGTAGCAGAAGTCGCCAACAGATCAGCAGTTGCCCACGCGATCAATTTTAATCACATACGGGCACCACAACACTGCACGACAGGCATCGCGCCATTTTATGAATATACAATTCACACAAGCACGCTGGTCACAGTCGAAAAAACATTCCAAATACAATCCGCAGCTCACAGGGTCACGCCATGCATTCAACTCAGAAACTAAGTTGTATCAAGCTCATTAAAATTGGGTTTTACTTCCAATAACAAGTTATTTTGATTGTGGTACTACAGGTCAGACAATGGTAAAAAATCTCTTCCACTTTTTCCTGAGCTACATGTTTGGGATATTTTATTATTTTTATTTCTTTTTCTTCTCCAAATCCTGTATTACCGCTTCGAGTATCAAGGAAGGTATAAGATTCTGCTTCATGCTCTTCCAGCAATGTGCACACTTTACTGTTGTAGAATTTCTCCTCCGTTATCTTTCCATATTTTTAATTTTATTATTATCTGTTTACTTCATGCATCTGAAAATGTTATTTTAAAATGTTGTCCACATTTTCAATTATAGACGTTGCGACAGGAATTTACAAACACATTAAAAGTATAAAGAATCAATGCAGTCGACCCCATGTCGGATAACATTTTTTTTATTTTGAAGTCCCACCCTGGCTTTTGCTGAGGGGCCCTAAATATGGCCTAATGGCTGAACAAGGTTTCCGGGACCTCTCCATGGGTGATACTCATCTGCATGGTGGCACTTTGTGTCACTGGGTGTTTGTGGCTTGTGTGATGTCCTGGTGGGGTACAACTTACCTACCTACCTAGTAAAAGTATAAACCTCTTTAAGCTAAGAAAAGAGAGTGAAAGACAGATAAGACAGACAGCCACTGCACTTTTATAACTATCTACAGTGAGTCATCTGTGGCCTAGGTACTGTGAACGTACTTCATAATTCCAAGGTGCTAGGTTTGATCCCAGCTGTGGGAGATTTGGTAGTGGTATCAAAAGCCACACTTTATTATTTGCAAACTAATGAACGTTAAACTGTCTAGTGAAATCATAAACAGCCCCAAAAAATGCTGGGATTGGTTCTGCAACATCCTCTAAAGGATAAGTAAAGTAAAAGTTCACATCATCTTTCCTTTAAACTAAACCAAAAACACTATAAACACCACAATACATCTACCTGCCACAGAATTGTCATCAAATCCCTTACCCCAGGAAGAGTAAAGAAAAGGACCCCTTTCCACGCCTTCAGACGTATTGGGTATATAGGGCTAGACTTATTTGTATAGACCAAACGGCACTTGGTGGGTGATGTGGTCAGAACACGCAGGCCACCTTTACTTCCTAGGAATGCACCTGCTAGTCACTCAAGGCTGGGTCGACCTGGGAGTCTAGGTAATTTTTTTAACATAAGTCCGGCTCTGTTGGGACGCGAACCCACAACCTTCAAATTTGCAGGTGGGCGCCTAGCTGTCAACACCACAGCGACTTTGCTCTAAAAGATATACAACTAATCTTTGGGGCTGTTTTAAACAGTGTGTTAGAAGCTTTAGTTTTATCCTGGAATTTATGATCACTAACAAGCAAGGCACAAGTCAGACTATATACTTACATTAGGATCATGATTGTTGTTACACCATAGAGAATTCAGCACAAACTTCATAGCACAAGGCGGTAGAGCAGTCAAAGATTTAGGCAGTTCTACCAGGGTGGATGGGTTCACTTCTTCCATGTTGCCAAAGTCAATGTACTGTACTTTGACCTGCAGAAAGGTGTCAAACCTATTTTGTGATGATACTAAACAAAACAAAACCCTTCACTGCTGCATTTAAACAACAAGGTCACTTATAACAATTCAAAATTCAAATTAATAACCATGCGAGCTGTCTGAGAAAGGTTTCTGTAGGGAATAGAAAAGATAAAATCAGGAAAGAGGTTATAAGAAAAAAGTAGGCCCCAAAAAAAAAAATTTGTTGAATAACATGCAAAGCAAACAAAATAGTTTTCCCACTTAGAGAGACTAATACCTTATTATGAAATACAACATACATACCAAAAGATGATATGGATAAAGATCCCAAGACAAACTAAAAATAAGAGCACACAAATGCAGCATGCTCTTAATCAAGTCTGCTAAAACAGAGTATTGGAATCAGTGTGCAGAGACTGCACAGAGTGCAGGGAATTTTCAGAGTACATAAAACACTCAAGGGAGTCATCAGTGTTCAGGGAACACTCAGTGTGCAGAGAACATCAATATTCAGGAAACAGTGTACAGGGATGACTCAGTTTACAAGGAATACTTTATGTGCAGAAAATACTCAGTGTACAGGGAATACTCAGTGCACGTGGAATACTCAATGGCAGAAATTACTCAGTGTGCATGGAATACTCAGTGCACATGGAATACTCAGTGTACAGGGAATACTCGGTGTAGTCAATACTCAGTGACCATGGAACACTAAGTGTACAGAGAATATCAATATTCAGGGAACACTTAGTGTACAGGGAATACTCAGTTTACAAGGAATTCTTTATGTGCAGAAAATAGTGTACAGGGAATACTCAGTGTACAGAGAATACTTGGTGTAGAGTCAATACTCAGTGACCAGGGAACACTCAGTGTACAATGATTACGCTGTGTATAAGGCATACTTAAGTGTACAGTGGATATTTAAAGTCTTCTTCTTCTTCTTCAGCATTCCGAGCCCTTGAGGTTCATTGCTGCAGATATCACCTCCATTCATCTCTCTGGTAGGCGTTCTCTTTCCAGTTGGTGACAACAAGTCTTTGCAGGTCTGTCTTGACTTTATCTCTACATCGTCTTCTTTGTCTGCCTCAAAGTCTATGACAATTCATCTCTCTCATGTACACAGTTTTTACTTCTCTGTCATCTGACATTCTTTCAATATGCCATTTCAGTCTAGTAGCTGTCATGATGCCAGTGATCAGTGGTGATTTAAATTGAATATTTAAAGTACAGTGAATATTTAGTGTACAGAGAATACTCAGTGTACAAGGAATACTCACTGTACATGGAATACTCACTAAGTGAACATGGGTGACATGGAATGTTAAGTGAACATGGAATACTCAGTGTACAGCGAATATTTACTGTTCTCCCACCTCATGTACTTTCATACTCAAGGAGTCACTTATATGCTGTGCCTATCTTTGTGTCAGTCGGCCCCTGCCCCCCCCCCCCCCCCCTTCCTGGTACCATGCCTTCTGCTATAATTTGTTTCCAATCTGTTGTGGTGCTTGATATGACCAAAATATTTCAGCTTCCGAGACAGGATGCTGTTTATTAACCAATCTTCCTTGATGTTCAGATCTTTCAAGATGTCAGTATGTCTCTTCTTTTTCCAAGATATTCTGAGAATCTTTCAGCTAAAAAAGCTCCTATTCTCTTTCTTAAGGACTGATAGTCCACGACTCACATCCGTATGTAGCCACAGGGAAGATGCATGCTCTCAAAATTCTAATTTTGATCTCCTTGCTGGTGCTTAACCATAGACTTTTAACGCTGTTCAATCTTTGCATTGCTATGGACATCCTCCTTTTAATTTCTGTCAAACAGTCTCCATTGCTGTTTACTGTAGAGCCTAGATATTCAAAGCTTGTGACATTTTCAATTTCTTCCTCATTTATTTTTATTTCTGGGTGACTGCCAGTTTTATCTGTGGACATTATTTTTGTTTTCTTTAAATTCAAGAACAGATTTTGATCTTCACTGTGCTTTTGGACAGCCAATATTAAATTTTCTATTCCCTTTATGCTTTTGAAAGGAGAACTGTGTCATCTGCGTAGTGAAGTTCCGGAATAGGGTTGCCACCAATTTTGAACGGATCATAACTGTCACAAGTATGGTCATTTCTGACATTTCTCATTATATTTTCTACATATATATTGAATAGGTATGGTGAGAGGATGCGCCCCTGCCTCACCCCTTTTTGCACCTTGAACCAATCCGATGTCTCACCAACTGCTCTGATGGATGCTTGTTGTTCATGATAAAGATTTTCAATTAAATGCACTAAATGTGCTGTAAACCCCATACTTCTCATAATAGTCCAGTTTGTGACGTTGGACACAATCAAATGCCTTGCTAAAATCAATAAAACAAGCATGAAGATCTACGTTGTATTCACTGCATTTTCCAAAAATTACTCTCATATTAAAGACATGATTTCTAGTTCCTCTACCCTGTCTTAAACCCGCTTGAGCGTCATGTAGCTCATATTGTAATTTCTTTTCAATCCTCTTTATGATAATTCATAAGAGGATTTTGCTAGCATGACTCATTAATGCGATGGCACAGTAGTTGGAGCATAGTTTCAGATTTCCTGGTGACTTTCCATTCTTCAGGCTGTGTATTGCTGATCGTACCTCATCCAGGAAAGACCGGTTCTTTTTCATAACTTTCACAAGTTGTTTTTTAATTACTTGTCACATCCTCATACATTTCTCTGCAGTATTCTTTCGATCTTTCTTATATGTCTTTGGTTTCCATTAATGTGTTACCGTTTTTACCACTTATTACATGAAAAGAAGGCCTGAATTCGCCTTTCAATGTTTTAATTTCTTTAAACATGTCTGTCTCTTCCTTGCATCTAGATACAGAGGATACTCAATGGAATACTCAGGTTACAAGGAATACTTAGTCACAAATTTAGGTAAACTGATTACTTTGTGTACACATGGCATCACCGTGACGAAGTGGTCAAGCTGTCTCATGCTCTGAAGGTCATTAGCTCATTTCATGCACTGTGCCTTTTCTAGGAGAACTACAGAGTTTGTGCTGTGTGTGCTGTTCTCAGCAGGGGGCTAGCCATTCTACAGAGAGAGGCCGAGCCATATGGGATAAATCCTGGAGCAATAAAGTCAATCAAGTTGGCTTTAACCTGGGGTACAGGAACTTTTTAGTTACAGGGAAAATACAGTGTACAGAGAATACTCAGTGAACAGATACTACTCAAGGTAGAGGGAATACTTAGTATACAGAGAACACACAGCGTACGGGAAATAGTTAGTGTACTGTTACCACTCAACCTACAAGAATACTGACTGCAGACCTAACTCAGAGATCAGGTGGAAGCTGTACAATCAGGGCATCAGGAACGTAAAGAAGAAAATATGGGAGAGCTGCATCACCTTGAAAGGTTTTTGTGTAGAGAATTTTTAGGTACACAACTCCTTGATGCTAAAGTGCAAAACAATTTGACTGTCACTCAGATATGTATGAATATAGAAAAGGAATGTTACTTACTCGTTCTGAACTGTAAACATAACGAACAGAACATCTATACCAACAGTCATCTTCTGAGTACTGTGCTCCATAAATCTGCATCACAAAAAATGTAATGTGCAAGAAATTATAATCGGATATAATTTTAAGGAAACAAAAAAAAAAAACTCATGGTCCCAAGTCAGAATGATATACTGGAATAAACAGACAGTGAGAAGGAGACAGGAAATAAAGACAACAAATAAAATGGTAAGAATTTTGTCATTGTAAAGCAGGTTGTGTTGCACTGTCTCTAAGCAACAAAAGATATTTTTGTTCAGAGTTGTGCTCCCTGGTCTCGACCTGTCAATCATGTAATTGTTGTATCACACTTCACCTGGAATGTTTCCTACCTGGAGGCCGTGGAAATTGCTACACTACCACATATCAGCATGTTAGTCACAGCTTCAACTGCATGACAAATCAATGGATAACCCCATAATTGCTCTGCTCCTGTGCTAACGAGAGCCACAGAATGCCAATCCTTGTCCTTTGTGAAAAAACTGAAACAGACTGCAGTCTCAGAAAAGCTGATTGCATACACACTGAAAAAACGCTTAAGTCAAAACAAACAGCCCATCACTATAATTTATGTTCTTCATCAATGGAAGCAGCAGTAACAATAAATCACAGCTGCACATGCAATACTGCATAAGGCAGCATGAGTTCAGTGGGAACAGGGCACTCGCCATTTTAAGAATATACAGTTCAAAACACAAACATTTTGGGCACATTCTAAATGAAATTCACAGATGACAGTGTCGCATTATGCATTCAATTCCGTAGCTAGGTGATAACGATATACTTTAAGTCTGCAAATGGGGGACAATGCAATAGCTAGCGGTAAAGGCTCAAAGCATATAACCTGTCAAGGCTAAAATGGTCAGCCTGCCTATCCACCATACTGTACTGGGAGAAATGTATCAGCATGTAAAAATCAACAAATATTAAAATATTAAGTGCCATAAATCTTTACCTATGTTTACTCAACAGTTTTCTTTTTATTAAAAACAGTTTAAGGTGAAATTAAATTGTTGTTAGTCTAGATAAGTCTAGTAAACTGAATTTCAGAAGTGTTTAAGATGTCTGTAGGCCAGAATATGTTAGAGTTGAGGTGAAGGTGAGATACTGGTAAGATGTGCAGCCATATTTAATCATGCAGACAAAAACGGCAATGAAAGGAAATGAAATGTCAGTCACCTGTATTTCTGTCCACTAATGCCGCAGTCACTTAACAATTCCTTGATAATTCATACCAGATGAAATACTTGACACCAAAACATGGCGCACAAATATTTTCTTCAACATTTTGACTCTATGGGTGAGTTCACATAATACCAGTCTAAGCTTCACATAGGCATCAAGGAAATTCAGCTTATAATCTAAAATAATGCACAAAGCACTGTCCACTGCATATACACAGACATGAAATACATTTAAATGATACCTTTTAACAGAGTAAGACACCTGAGCATCACAGCATATAGATCTACATAAACCAATTCTTCTTTTCTTCTTCTTCTTCGTTCACTGGCAAAGTAAATTATAGGAACTCTAAACTATATTTTCTGTGAACTCCCCAATGAATGATAGAAACAAAAACGTTTTGAGCACTAGCCACAGTAAAGTAGATCTAATTTAATAATTGCAGCGATGACACAGAACCCATAAAAGATGCAAACAATGGAGAGTGAGAAGCAACAATTAAATCCATAACTGGTTTTAATTACTAGCACCATGAGGGCTAAGTGACTGCCAAGGTTGGGGTATAATAAAGAGAGTGGCAGCTAAAAGTGAGACAACAAATTTGTCTACAAAAGAGTTGAATGAAGTAGACTACAATGCAGACCAAGCTTTTGTGGCCTGTTATTCAGTTCAAGGAATCACTTATTCTGTGGCAGTAGGATGGCGTAATTTTGAGGTTATCTTCATTTCTGACAGAGCAGCATTCAAAAGGTAAGAGTCCAGAAATAACACTTCACCTACCTTATCACTTTCTGGCTTTCCTGTGAGTTTTGAGGCATCTGGACAAATAATAGCTAACTGCTCTATGATGTTTGACAATTCATCAATATTTTCCGGACACAGTTTTTGTCCCCAAAGAGCAATGGGAGTTTCCACAAAGGATACCATCAACTTCTGTTTTGAACAATATAAGTGACAATATTATTAAACACATCTTATGAATGAATCAGAGAAAAAAAAGTTGTTTTAGGTATATAATATAATTGAAAAGTATTTAAAATTATAAAGAATTTGACTTAATGACAGAGACGTCTTATATAAAAGATGTTTAAAGATTAGAGGATCAATTTCATTGTGCCAGGTTTTAACCCATAAAGTTCAGACTACCTCTAAACAGCCCTGTACAAAATACAAACCTGTGTAACTACACAGATCCAGGAATGATCCCCAGAGATCTCCAAGCAGACTGCATTCATGAACCAAATAAAACAGTCCTAAACTAAACTCATGACTTTCAGAGCAGGAAACTTACAGCTTGACCACTTCATCAGAGAGATCTCCTCCTAAGATATCTTCTTCTTCTTCTTTTTTCGTTTACTTGAAATAAATTATCTATATTTGCAATGTTGTCTCTAGTATAAACGTCACCGTCTTTTGTAATTCCCTAAGCGGCTCGTAAAGTTTGGTTTCCACAAGTGTCTCTCTTGGCCAGAAGTTTTGCCTTAAAGCGTTGAATCTGGGACAGTCTTAGAGATTGGAGGATGTGATCTGTTGTCTCAGGTGCCACACCGCAGGTACACATAGCTGATTCACCAATCTTAAATCTTGTGTACATGTGGCAGCGAAGTCGACTGTGTCCTGTTCTAAGGCAGAGAATAATGACTTGCTCTGGTCTGTCCATAATATGGTAATCATCTTGTGCCAGTTTCGATGGCTTTCTGATTGATTTCATTATACTCTTCTTCTGTTGATAAGAGACTGGTATGTCAGATTGATCTTCAGTGGCACCTTCCTAAGCTAATTTATCAGCTCTTTCATTTCTGGGAACTCCACAGTGGGATGGTATCCACTGCAAAACTACCTTACAACAGTTGCCTAGTTTGGATAATAGTGTCCGTATATATTATTTGGTAATTTTCCAGACTGTAGTGCCTGAAGTACAGCTTTTGCATCTGTCAGGAATACCTCTGGTTGTGAAATATACCCAGTATTTATAGTTTCTCTGCTGCTATCTTGATAACTCTAACTTCTGCATCGTAGTTGTAAGTGCTTTCCTGTAGGTATTTTGGCTGAATCAATGGTATTATTAGAATGCTCAATGTACACTCTTGCACCTCTGTTTCTGATTGCATTTTCTGCTGACCCATCTGTGTAAATATGAACCCAAAATTTCTGTGAATATTCATGATCAAGTAGACTGAGCATGACTGTTTTAAGTTGCACTGTTTTGTTCTTCCTTGTCAAATACTCCTTTCACTTCTGTCTTGATGTATTTTGGAAACTTAGATTCCTCTCTCCAGAGGGTGTGTTCTGGAACAACCTTTAAGGGGCTATCAGTTGCAGGCAGATGCGTGGTTTGTCTGCAGAGCCATTTGGCCTGGTGGCCTGCTTCTCTTTAGTAGTCCTAAAGCTAGATTTTGGAATCTTTCCTTCATAGGGTGACTAGGTATGCTAAAAAACCTTTCTGCTTGTATTGGCATCTTGGTGTCTCTATGTTCACTCAGTGCTTGGGTTATCCTCATTATCTCCATCACAGTTATAGGTGTTGATTTCATACTGCCTCTGATAACTATATCTTCTTTCTACTTCTTGGCGTTAACCGGCTGTAAACTCTTGCAGAAAGTTCTGGTTGTTCATCCAACTCTGGACTTTAGACTTGTTCCAGGATCCAACTGTTGTATGCACATCCCTTTTACAGATCTGACTTATTTGTATGCAGACTTTTGGTTTCTTACCTCTCAGGCAGATGCACTGCGACTTCGAAGGAAACCCCAAACTAGTCCACTCTTACGACATGCTAGTTGGAGAGGCCGTGGGGCTACTCTTGTTTTCCCCCACAACAGGGCCCCGGAACCCAAACTGGGACTGAGATATCTAAGTTTATTCTTCCCACTGAAATTGTCCAAGATGATAAACTTTTTCCAGCATCCTGCATTGTCAAATCTAGTTTGTTATCAAGTTATTTATATCTATTTTTTAAAGGTTAGTTGTGTATCCCTTACAAGACGTTGCAGAACCAAGCCTATCATTTTTTGGGGGGCTGTATTGGGATTTTACTAGGCAATTTACATTCAGTAGTTTGCCATTGTCTTCTGAGTGGCCGGCAACCCATGTCTTCTGCATGGCTGGCAATCCCTACCACTGTCAAACTAAATTCTAACTGGTCTGCTGCCAACCTGCCTGCAGCTGGATATTTCAGAATTATAAAGCGTGTGCACAAGCAAAAGCCCCAGATTCTGACTCTATATAAACAAAGAACAAATAAATGATGAATCATGAACAACATCACTGCACTTGAGACATTCCAGCGCGCTCCGCCCCCTTCTCCAGCAGCCAAAGAAGAGTCGACATGCTAATAGTAACCAGTTGCAACCTGATAAAAAGTCTGCCTGTTTCACCCTCAGTGTTTTAGAATAAACAAAAATTTTGGTTATGAAACCAGAGGAAGACCAGGAATCAGACATAAATCAGACAAAAGGGTAAACTGTATAACCACATCTAACATAATTGTAGGTGAAATATTTTGCTCAAGATAAAATACTTTAACTATTCTTTAACGCATACATGTTAAGCTTTGAAGTTATTTTTGCCTCCGACAGCACTTTGCTAATGCAGTTTTCACATAAGGACGGCAGTCTACAGTTTCTCTGCCTGAGCTACTGAGTTTAGTGCTTGGTTGCAGCCCTGTGAGCTGTGTTTTTCCTATGGAATGCCTTTCATTTGCGCAGCTGTTGTGTCATTTTGCTTAATATGGCCGGTGGCCAGTTTATGTGTGAGCTGGTGAAATACCTTATGAAAGAATTATACGTGTATGTATAGTAACCAGCTTATCATGCCCGACTACCCTCAACTTCCACTGACTTCCATCAACGACAAACTGCATTTCTGGTGGCGATTGTTGGCTTTGTCGCTTCGAGCCAACTGAATTATGCATTTATTGTGTGCACATATTTCTGGATTGTTTCGGAAATAGTTGTTTATTCACCAGTTTTTCATATGCAAAGTGAGGAACATTTCATTTGATTCACACTGGCACAGGAATGGAGCAAGTATGGGGAAACCCGATTGCGGTGATGTTGAAAATAAAATAATGATGAGAGAGGCCAAATATGCTGATATGAATGGTATCAAAAACGTTACAGAGGATAGAACAGATGGAGAAAAAGACAGCAAGTTATATGTGACGCAGAAATGGCACAACAGTATGACTGATACATTTATTTTAATATTTATCAGCACATACTGTTTATATAATTATCATCATCAGCCATATGTCTATGTTTGCCATCATTGTCATTGTCTGCCCTCCCACTAAATGACCAGAATCTCAGATCAGCTCAGTGTTCTTGTCCTGCACAAGTAATTCAGGTATTTATCTCTGTCTTCCTATTGTCCCCCCCCCCCCCCCCCCCCCCAATCATGTTTACTAGTTATCACACCATTTTTGAGTTTATATTTTCTCATAACATTTTCCCCCAAAACATGATAATCTACATTTGATTTTTCTAATCAATTTATAGTTTTCATCTAACCGAGAAGGACTGCTTCATCTGCTCTGCTGTCAACTGATAATATTCTTTCCATTTTTCTCAGGTATCAGTATTGGAACTCTGCACTGGCTGCTGAAGATGAGGACGAAGCATGCATGGGAATGCCCCAAGTGCTGTGATGTCAATTCTTGACTCAACTTAACTCATTTGTCTCAAAAACCATATTTCAGTTGCCATTATATATTTTTCAGCTTGTGTAGATACTGATCATAGTGGAGAACATTTCATTAAAAAAAATGGATAAGTGTTTTTAAAATGAGGCAAACTAAAAATATTTAAAATGCTCCCACACTTATCAGAAACATCAGAAAGAAAGAGACTTCATCTTTTGGCCATGTTATGAGAAGAGGGAAACTGAAACATGTTGTGACCACTGGAAAGGTCTGTGGAAAGAGAGACAGAGGAAGACAGTGCAAGAAGATTCTTGACAGCCTTTTGTCGTGGCATGGAGAGGTGCCAACATACAAGCTAATACACACAGCTGTGGATAGCAGATTGTGGAAAGGCAGGATCGCCCACTCCAGTAAGCAAGGCACTTGAGGTGATGAAACCATAATACAAAGTGGAGACACAGAATAGTCTGAATTTTCAAGAAACAACACTGCACACTGCCATCGACACAAATATTGATTCATAACCCTTCGTGACTGCTTACCTCCATGTCCCTTTTGTTTGGAAGCCCTGTACCAGATTCCATTACCGGCACTAGGAAAAAAATATGCACCAAGTTATAATTTGAAACATTTTTCCTGTACATGTGTTCACCGGATTTGTCGGTATATAAAACACTTTTCTGTTCTCAAAATAGGCCTTACAAATAGGCTGCATCTTATACAACGAAAGTAGGCCGAAGTGTATTATAAGTTTTCCTTGTTAGTCGCAGTCTAGTTTTTCCATCCAAGATCTAGGAATGCTGAGTATTCAAGCGATAATGTGGTCTATGAATGAGACAGAAAGATGAACAGCTGGGAAATACATGCCTGTGGAATTCTCTAATTATCATTAGGACAAAGATTTACTTATCCTGATGATGTAAATATACTTTAGGCTTACATTATTACACAAATAATATTTTACAAAGAAATTAACATTTTGGATGGGGAAAAAACAATGTCTTAAGAGGAGCCACCTTCCATTACGACATCATCCCTTGTGCTAATTTATTTCCTGATAATTCATCAGTATTCAAAGACTATTCACCAGCACTGAATTTTTAAGGAAGTTTATCCAATGTTGTTTTATTTTTTTTTTAAATCCCAACTGAAACCTGAATTTTTGCCATTCTTAATTTCAGCACTTGGAACCAGCCCATCATTTTATTTGTCCTCACCTGATGACTTGCCAGGAAGGACAAATATTGACTTTTTGGGTGCGTAAAATAAACATTTCAATTGAAAAGGGACAAATACTGGAGTTCCGCTGTATGAAATTAAGTAGAATGTTTCAAAAATTTGTAGTTTGCTAAAAACAAAATTAGAAATCTGTAAACTGAAATAAAACTGAATAATTGTACAGATCTTTATTTATAGGCCGTCAGATTTCAACATGAACATACGTAAAAAAAAAAGCATCTGTCAGACTAATCTTGTTGCAAACCTCTGGAGTTTGTTCTAAAACATCACAACCTGACTGTACGCTTTTAAAGGATCCTTTTCCACACCCCTGGGCATACTGGGTACACAGTGCTATATCTATATTTTACAGACCAACTGGCATTCTGTTGTAGGTGTCACATTCAACATTACACTAGCTGCCTCTACTTCCAAGGATTTCACCTGGTACTCACTATAGGCAGGGCCGACTGGAGAGCCTTTGGAAAAGTAAAACAGCAAATAACGTAATGTGATGCAATGCAGCATACAAATGTAAAATATGAAGAAAAAATGCATCCATACCGGTTGACTCACCAATGTCTGGATTCCTCTGTTTCAGGGACATGGGCAGTCTGCCCTCTTCCTTCTCTTGGTTTCCATCGGAATCCCCATCTTTTCTTAGTAAAGCACCACCCCTAAGAAGTATTTACAATCATTATCAAGTTGCTGGCTAACTAGTGTAGCTGATCATCTTTTCCCACAACTTACAATCTAACAATAATTACCAATGTGATATTTATTCCTACCAAGACGTATGGCTTCTAACCCCTTTAGAGCACTTGACTGCTTTCCTAGTGGGTATTATTTCTTTCCAGACTGTGGCAGAGAATCAAGATATTGTGAATAAACTTAAGAAATTTTAGGTAAAGATGAAATCTCTTTCTATTTATTACTTCTCTTAAATTCATTACTCTTCCAAAGAATGGGGTATTGATTCCCTCTGCAAAAAGTAATATTTAGTTTCTGACTCACACAAAATTCCCTCAAAATGACAATTCCCATTAAAGTTTGACCAACTGAAATTTGGATAAACAATTTCTTTTGCTACTTTGGGTCATTTAAAAAAAGTTGTTAGTCAAGACATAACTTTGAATAAAGTTTAGATGCGATCAGTATGAAGTGCAGACTGGGTAGGGCAGACACTCCAAATAAGGTAACATGCTTGCAGCACACCAACCAAGAACTAAAACAGAATGTTGAATACATCAAAGCACTCGGGACACTCCCATACGTGCTCAGTTCCCATTTTCAGCTGCGAGCAAAGAGTTCTAATTCCGATGGTACCAGTAACCGTCTAATCCTTCCTCCGAGTGTTGAGCATCGGCCAGATCCTCTGGTAACACGCCATTCTCCTCAGACCGTAATGATCTAACTGCGCCTCTGCACTGTTCACCCGTTCCCAAAGAGCTCTCACAATATATTACTTGTCATACATCAATTATCCACCAAGTGGTGCAGAGCCAGCCAGTCTATCTGCCTGTTCATTTCCTAACACACCGTCACTCCCTGGCGAAAAATATTCAAAGTATGCTAACTACCCTAGACCTCTGAAGTGATGCTTGCCACTCTGCACGAAAAACTAAAATACCAAACAGCAACTTGAGAGTACAGATTGGTTCCCCACTTCACCAGATGTCAGACATGGAAGTGTCATCTCGCCATTGCTCTTTATTACTTACATGGATAGGATTACACAGGAGGCAAATACAGACACTGAAGAAATCAATGAACTTATTTTTGCTGATGACCAGTGTCTACTACACCACGAAGAACAGAATTTACAACACCACACTGACTCATTGCATCAATTCTGCACAAAGTATGATATGAAAATAAACACCATGAAAACTGAGGTACTGAGAACAGGCAGTATATATAATAACATGAAATTTCATGCTAATGGTTCTACAATAAAATAGTATGAGAGTTAAAATATCTGGGAAGCATATTCACAGAAGATGGCAGACTCAACAGAGAAAGAGAAGCCAGAGTACAGAAGCCAAATGCTGTCATCTACCAGTTAACCCACCTATTTAGAGACGAAAATGTCTCCCTTTCAGCAAAACAGCAAATGATTAATAGTCCCTTTATCCCTACTTTAAGCTATCAGTGCCGACATGAGCAATGGATCAGGCACTAGAGAAAATAACTACCTGTGAAATATGCTGTCTCCGTTAGGTCACTAACAGCGCAAAAAGAGACAGGGTCATGCATACCAGCATTAGTGAGAAAGTTTGAAAAAACACTGACTGAATTATATTGACCTAAAGAAAATGATTTGACCATCTAGTGAGAATGCAGCCAGATCAAACTGCATATGAGACTTTTTACAGCTGAACATGTGGGAGGAAACCAAGAAAAATGGATAAATGTTGTAATGAAACCCGCAAAAAGATTACCAAAACCACCACCCATGCAACATGAGAAGTGCAAGACAAACATAGAAAACTGGGCTATCAGTGAGACACCAAAAGAAAGAAGAAGTGGGGGGAAAAACTCTAATGACCACAACGCTGCAGGCCGCAAACATGTAATTTTACCACATCCTCTGTCTAGCTATAGAAAGTCAAGGATGGACATATCCATCACATCCACTGAGATAGCAATTGGCCATAATGGATATCTGTCATATTTCCCTAAGTTTCTTTGCTGTTCACACATGAGGGTATTTAATAGATAGATAACGACAGGTAGTGGTAGTTTTGTATGTAGGTTACCACGTGTTTTGTTTGTTATAGTATGATCACAAAGGTTTTCCTTTCTTAATGTTCATAGTAAATCATAATTATGTTCTCATAAAGCTTAAAGCTGAGCAGTTCTTTATATTTTTGGCGATATAAACACAAAAATGAAAAGAAAGGGACAAGAAAAAGGTATAGTGTATAATAAAGATCTGGAAAGATCTGTATAACGATTTAAGCATTTGGCTGTGAATTTTTTTTTAAAAACCTTAAGTCCCAGAAATTTGTTTTTACAGAAGAACGCTGAAGTAACCTTGACAATCTAATCTCTTAAACTAGTGTTAAAAAATGAATTGACAAACAGCATTTCCTACCTTTTAACAGCCTTTTTCACATTAATGGGCTTTCCTCCTTCAAATATCATCCCATTTGTCTCCTCTATAGCTTTCAAGCCATCTTCCTCGCAGTAATATTTCACCAATCTGAAAAATATTTGAACAATATAAAGGTAACGTACTCAACATCTATTATTAATCTTATCAAGCGATTCATCCTTGGCAAACAATAGAATGAAGAAAAAAAAATATTAACAACAAAGCCAAAACACTGCCAATTATTGTCTATATTATACCACTTTTGCGGTGTAGGCAAACAACAAAGCAAAAGTATAAATCGTCGCCAAATAACTGAAGAAGCTAGTGTTCACCAACATATTTGTGTATTAACACAATTTTTAAAAATACATCAACGGCAATTTCTTAAAATTTGAACTAGCTGTGAACACTTATTCTTTTTGTTCAAAGACTCTAAAAAAAATCACCTTTTATTAAAGTCATTATAACACTACAATTCACTAATCACTTAGCACCAGAGTCACTGCACCATATTTTTAGATTAAGGAAATGTATTTGCTTAACCCTGGCAGCCAATCGGAACGTGACACGTACTGGTTTTTTATTTACCACTGGCCAGTATAACTAGGCACGCCTTCAGTTTTTGGTGTTTGATTTCACAAGTGCTGACCATTTGGCTTTTTTAAAAACATGGCTAAAAGCATAAAATGTAGCATGTTTGTGAGATTTGCCGAGTTACTAAGTGTCTTGTGTAAAAACAATAGGGTCTCTGAGCATTCTTCATGCATGTCAACAAGATTTATGACTTCAGAAGCCTCAAATTTAAATAAAACACGCGTTTATCAGATTTATCCTAAGCTAGACAAAGGAAGTTACAAAGCAGACTTTTAATCATTGATTGAGTCAAACTTTGATGAGAGATATCGTTGATATATACCTCACGCACAGCTTACAACGATAAAGTCAGCTTTACAAAAAGAATAAATTTTAGTGAAAAAGACAATATTTTTCAGTGTCAGGTCAAGTGTGATTCCCTTATTTGGGGACATTTCCAGTATTATTCCTCCACAATCCCTGGTCACTTTGATGCATATGTGTATGTTGCACGGCAGTTGAATTAGCATGATCTGATTTAATGTGTTAAACTTGTGACATTTCAAAATTGCATCAAAGGGAAAAAGAGCTGGTATTGGATTATTAAAATATATAAGTTTGTTTCTTTTAAAAAATTTTGTCACACCAGTTTAAGACAATTTCTGGAAAAACAAGCACAAATCTATCCTCATTAGTGTCAAATTTGAAGATCAAGATAACTTATAGAAAGCAACATTTCCTACCTACCCATATTTATTTCCATCCGTGGCAGTATTAATCCATATGTTGTGGACTTCTCCATATTTAGAGAACAATTTGCCAATCTTTCTCTGTAAAAACAAGCAAGCCACAAATGTTATATAATATGAACATAATAAAACCTACACACCTTCAAACCCTCCCCAACCTTTTTTTTCAACTGGCAGCCAGCGGGCCAAATCTGACCCATCGAGGCGTAACAAGTGGCCCTGTGATCACCTGCTAACTTGTCTGTATTAATGATCTCTCTAAGCTGGGGCTTGGGTCACTGGCCTGCGATGATCCCATTCTCCAACATTTTTCACCTACAAGCTACAAAATTTGTATTATGCTCATAACCTAAACAACTTAGTTTTTTTTTTTTTTTTTCTAAAATAGTTGCTTAAAGTCAAAGCAGAAGCATATAATCACTTATGTACAAGAAACTACCAGGATGATTTTTCAATAAGAGTTAAGAACAGCACTTGGGACATTTCCATGTGTGCTCCGTCCTCATCTTCAGCAGCCAGAGCAGAGTTCCAATACTGATGGTACTGGTCACATCCTGGTTATTTGTCTGTCTTGCTTCGCATTCCTTTGAGTCTATAGCTGTGCTGGACTGATAACATCCATCATGTATTGTTATTTTGAATTCAGTGGTTAGAGTCCAATCTTTCACAGTTGGTTTTTGGTTTAGATCAGATTGTTTGTGAATGTAGCGTGGTTGGTCAGATTCATTACTGTGTTATATTTTGACTATAATATGTTTGCTATCTAGTCTGTGGGCTTCTAAGTTGTAAGGAAGTCAGGCCAAGTTGTGACCAGGTATATTTATTTTTGCAGTGGGAATCATAATCTGAGATGCCTCACCCCTGAAGTGATGTTGGATGGTCATTGATCCTTCTAGATCAATGTGAGCACCATCTAACAATAAGTCACTTCAAAGTGTCTTTGATTACTAGGGGAAACCCTAATAAAGACATGCGACAGACGTGTCATGTGACATTGTTTCTCAATTTTTAGTATCCTCACAATCACAATTATACTGACATATTGCTCTTCAAATTATTACTGCTAATTACAAAATATTAAAAAACACCCTAAGACAAACAGAGGAATTTAAGTATTTGGGAGCAATTTTCACATCCGACGGAAAACTGGACAGAGAAATTAGCTCCAAATGTGCCAAAGCTAATCAAGTAATGGGGCAACTATCTCCCCTGTTGACACACAAGCAGATACCTCAGAGTACTAAAGTGAATGTTATAGAACTATTTTTTGGCCAACACTATGTTAATAATACCAAACGTGGACACTAAATCCTCTAATGAACATAAAATTGTGACAACAGAGATGAAATGCCTTAGAAGAGCTGCAGGAGTTTCAAGGAAAGAGAATATGAAATCATGAAATCAGAGGAATGCTAGGAATAAAGCCAGTCTTACAGGTCATCAAGGAATAACAAATAAAGTGGTTTGGACACCTAACAAGAATGCCCTGGTACTATCTGCCACAGTGAGCCACACTAAAACGTTACAACGGGTATAGAGCGAATGGAAGACCTCGGAAAATATGGAGTGATAGCGTTAAAACAGCCTTAAATAAATAAACATCAGTCTTAATAGTGCTCTTGACAGAGCTCATCAACGTACATTACATCTCCCCCCGACACTTCGATGAGGTACAAGGTGGAAGAGAAAAAAAAGAAGAAGAATTATAAAATAACAACTATTGTTTTTACCTCATTTCATTTAATATTAATAATCTGCTTTGCTGTATTATTTAGTAATTTACTGTGTCACAAAGTTACAATAGCGACTACGGTGTTCTGCAATTTGCGGTCTTTTGGCAGTTTCCGTTTCCCTGGAAACCGTTCGAAACTTGCTTCGCAAATGTCGGCTGGGGTTTTGGGATGGGTCCTAATCTCTCATGAAATTTTGCGATTGGTGTGATTTTCACCCACTATAAACAGCTGAAAACGGCGGGAATGGATCCGATTAACAGCGCATGTCTACGACAGCCGGACGTCCTCTGTTTTTCTGTTACATCAGTTTCATTGAAAATGGCGGTAAGTTTTCAAAGTTGGCTTTAGGCCTTAAACATTACCAGACATGGTAATGCTAGTTATAATTGAATTCTCCGTCCAATTTTACATTTGTGTATACAATTTCTTTCTTGTCTGTGGCTGTTTAGATGTACAGTGACATTTTTCAGGCAATCGCTAATATGTGGCTGTGTCTGAGAAAAATTGTCTGCCATCTTGTCCAATGAAAACAAAGCCAAAACGAAAGTTGCGCAATTCATGCGCAGAGAAAACTTCTTGTTTCACAGACGCAAGTTTTAGCGGCTGTTTTTTACATCTCATCGCCCCAAAAACCTACATATCTCAGCTAAAAAATGACATACAAGGCTAAATGAGGTATTATTGGAAAGAGATTGTTGCGTCTAGGGTTACCTATCATCCTACGGTTGCGTGTAGGGCTGCGTAGGGTGTCTATCATCGTCCTACGGTTGCGTGTAGGGCTGCTTATTGCGTGTAGGTTGGTTGTTTGCGTAAGATGAGGGGTAGGGTTAGGGTTTAGGGGTATGGTTCGATTTGAAAATTTTCACGTAGGAGGTCGAAATAGTGGCCGACAATCTGACGTTTGTGGGAGTGGCGCCACTGAAACTAAGTCAGATATGACGCCAATAGCGGGCGGCTGGTGCCCAGTCGCTGGCGAATTGATCGTTTCACAAACATCCACAGGCCCTCGATTGTTTGTGTGTGTATGTGACTGTGTGCGACGTCGACGACGTTGGTCTACCCTAACCCTAAACCCTAACCCTACCCCTCATCTTACGCAAACAACCAACCTACACGCAATAAGCAGCCCTACACGCAACCGTAGGACGATGATAGACACCCAACGCAACCCTACACGCACCCGGATGATGATAGGTAAGTATGCCATTTGATTCGTGACTTTTTCCGCGACTTGTTTTGAGTGCAGCCACGGGACATAACTCCCATTAAGCCCCGCTAAGCCGGCCGAAGCAGTCCAGCTTACCGGCCAAATTTGAAAGTAGAGCCGAATATTTGGTTGTAATATGCTAACAAAACAACAACAACAAATCAATAAACCCTACTAAGTACTTAGCAATTATCACAAATTCATTTTGATATTAATTTTATTTGGCCTTTTGAAGCGGGGATCATGAAGCCTCAAACTAACGCCGCTATCTTAATCTATCCGACTGATTGCTGTTAGTGTTAGAGTGGGCGTATAATTTAAATTAGGTACTTCTGTGTTTTGTTTTAACATCTATTATAATTATATCTAACTAAGCATTCCCGTGTCTGTAGTTTTATTAACAATTTATTTACTTAGAAAATTCCAAGTAAATTCAAATCTAACTATTACTGCTGGATTGAATGATTCATTCCGATGACTCGAACACTCGTCTGAAAGGCAGACGCAGATTTTCAAACAAACTGTAATTACCAACTTTCAGTTTCCCAATTCCGCTGTTTGCAGACCACTATAGGTGTGTAACAAAAGAGCAAATAAAGTACCTGGTCAGCATCTGCAGGTAAATTGCCCACAAACACATCGAAAGTGTTGACTCTCCGGGTCCCGGGTACAGTCGACATAGTGCTTGTGCTGTAGTCGAGCTCTACTGCTGAAAACGATTGCCAGGTTTATTTACTATAGCGGCCGCGTTACCAGATACCTGACCTGGATTCTGCCAAACTTCCAACCCAGGCGCTCGTTACTGTGCTGGTGTTCGCTTGTTGTTTCACAGAGGTGCTGTCAGCGCTTGAAGTTGGCCGATTCCAATCTAATCATTATAGTCGGACTAATACAGAAGTTTGAACGATGAAATTGCAACACTGGATGATATATATGAAGCAAGAATGTAAAACAAATAATGGGACATTGTGCACACACACGTACACGAACGCTCAAAACAGAAATGATTACTGTAGAAAGCTCCTTCTTCTTCTTCTTCTTCTTCTTCTTCTTCTTCTTCTTCTTTTTCTTTTTCGTTAGCATTCCAAGCGCTTGAGGTTCGGGTTCATTGCTGCAAATATCACCCGCCTCCATTAATCTATCCGACTGGCCCTTTCTATCTACATGGGGACTCCGATTGTTTCTATGTCTTGTTACGTGTCCGTATCAACATCTTATCACACGGATAAAACAAATTCGTGTTCCCTACTATGAAGCAGCAGCCTAGGTCTACCTGTATATTATCTATATTATCTTTCCAAAGTCTTTTAAGTCTGCCTCGTTGTCTACTTCCATTCAACTCTTTTGTGTACGTAGTAGTTATTGTCTCTCTGTTATCTGTCATTCTCTGTATATGCCGCGACCATTGCAGTCTTTGGTGATTTAAACAGATTATGAATCTCATTGTAACTTCTTCTCAACATATTCATCAGCGTCGAGCGGTTAACAGTACAAGTTCTATGTTGGTTAACAAGACGTCGTGTGCGTCCAGAGTGCTTCTCATGCTTGGCTGTACCGAAAACCTATTATAGCTTTACCGCAGTCACCTTATTTGTCGATATATATTATCACCACCCTCATACTGCAACTCATCGTATGGTCTTGTCTGTGTGTTACTGTGGCACTGATTGAGTTTACCTTATTTCAGTGTTACCATTGTTGCTGTTCATGTATTGGTTCTAGCGTACAGTATTTGTGTTAGACCCTATTTACCTATCCTTAGCTTTCTTGTTTCGCCACGCTATTATTACCTTCACGGTATTTCCTGTCCATTTCCATGGCTCTATACATTAGAGTCCTATGTAGTCACTTCACAGTTAAAGCATATTTGTGTATGTGTACTGTGTTGTCCTTTATGTGCTGATGAAGGCTAATCGCCGCAACGTCCTTTGTTTACTGTAATCGATTTTGTATAGCTAACATAAACTGTTTGTTGTTTCTTACCAACTTTTTCTCTTCCCTATAATTTTCTACTCCTTTTATAAAATTATTATAGCTCTACCGCAGTCAAATTATTTGTCGATATATATTATCACCACCCTCATACTGCAACTCATCGTATGGTCTTGTCTGTGTGTTACTGTGGCACTGATTGCGTTTACCTTATTTCAGTGTTACCATTGTTGCTGTTCATGTATTGGTTCTAGCGTACAGTATTTGTGTTAGACCCTATTTACCTATCCTTAGCTTTCTTGTTTCGCCACGCTATTATTACCTTCACGGTATTTCCTGTCCATTTCCATGGCTATACATTTGAGTCCTATGTAGTCACTTCATAGTTGAAGCATATTTGTGTATGTGTACTGTGTTGTCCTTTATGTGCTGATAAAGGCTAATCGCCGCAACGTCCTTTGTTTGTTTATTGTAATCGATTTTGTATAGCTAACATAAACTGTTTGTTGTTTCTTACCAGCTTTTTCTCTTCCCTATAATTTTCTACTCCTTTTATAAACTTATTATAGCTTTACCGCATTCACCTTATTTGTCGATATATATTATCACCACCCTCATACTGCAACCCATCGTATGGTCTTGTCTGTGTGTTACTGTGGCACTGATTGAGTTTACCTTATTTCAGTGTTACCATTGTTGCTGTTCATGTATTGGTTCTAGCGTACAGTATTTGTGTTAGACCCTATTTACCTATACTTAGCTTTCTTGTTTCGCCACGCTATTATTACCTTCACGGTATTTCCTGTCCATTTCCATGGCTATACATTTGAGTCCTATGTAGTCACTTCATAGTTAAAGCATATTTGTGTATGTGTACTGTGTTGTCCTTTATGTGCGGATGAAGGCTAATCGCCGCAACGTCCTTTGTTTGTTTATTGTAATCGATTTTGTAAAGCTAACATAAACAGTTTGTTGTTTCTTACCAACTTTTTCTCTTCCCTATAATTTTCTACTCATTTTATAAACTTACTCCCAATTGGCGCATTCTTAGCAGTGATGTGAACACGTTGCTTCCAAAATCCTCAGAACGTCCTATCTCTCTAAGGGCAATGACAATGTCCGCGTGATCCATGGGCAGGCCATCTTTAATTAATGCAGCACCTGCCAGCTTATCAGCTCTCTCATTGCCAACAACGCCTGCATGCCCTGGGACGAGTATGATAGTAACTGTACACACAGGAGAATTTTGAAACGACTCAAGCCACTGTCTGCTTAAACAGCCTGCCTCGATCCACCGGATCATGTTCAAAGAATCACTCACCACACACACACGGAAATAGTCTTGTGATCTCAGCCACATGAAAGCCTGTGTCACCTCCATTGTCATGCTGCTGGTGGTCATGGAGAATGCACCGCTGGCTTCCTTAACTGTTCTGTCTGAAGAGCGAGCTGTAAATGCCCAAGCACTCTTATGTCCTAGTGTCACTGGCATATAAAATATAAATCTAGCATTATATACCCAATACGTGGCGCGGTGATATCGATCACAGGCGTGAGAGAAAGTTAAGGCCGCTGTGATGTGAATAAGGCGTTACTCTGTACTTTATCTCAGGTGCCAGCCGGCTCTCGGATGGTTTTACGGATCCTCGCGCAAGATTCCAGTTGCACGTCCACGTCGTGCGCCACGGATAAGGGCTTACTTTTGTGACCTGAGCCGAGCTGGCAAGGGATCCTGGCGTTAGTAAGCTTGCTCACATCACCCCACCCCAATGCATGGGTGAAAACGTCTATCAAAGCTCATTTGAACGTGGGTAAAGTCCGCTAGCCGAACATACTACTAAATGACAACCATTGGTTAAAACGTCTGTCACGTGGGAAGAATTACAATGCTGCTGAGATTCAGCCCTAAAACAAAAGCAGAGGGGGAAATCGTTGCTAGGTCGGGCAGAAGATGTTATTAGGCAAATATGCAGCCTAACCGACATCATACCTGGTGCAGAATGGATATCTGTGCCTCAGGCGTTTATTTGTACATTTTCCTGTATTGTCACACTCAACAGGCGATGTAGAGAAGAGAATCCTGTTGCTGTTAATGCAGAGGTCAACGCTCTCATCGTTGAAAATTCAGACGAAGCAGATGCAATAATCTATACAGACGGATCCGTTATACGCCAAAGAAGAAGCGCATGGGCATTTACAGCACGCTCAGCGGGCAGAACAGTCAAAGAAGCCAACGGCGCCTTCTCCATGACAACCAGCAGCATGACGATGGAGGTGATGGCAGTGACACAAGCGCTTGCCTGGCTTGAAACACAAAAACACACCCGCGTGTGTATACTCAGTGATTCAATGAGTATGATCCGGAGGGTTCAGGCAGGTTCAGTGCGAAGACAATGGCTTGAATCATTACAGAAGTCCACTGTCCGTGGAGTCACCTTTATTTTTGTTCCGGGACACGCAGGCGTCGATGGAAATGAAAGAGCTGACAGGCTGGCTGGATCCGCTATCACTACCGACGGTCAGCCTATGGATCATGCTGATATTATCAATGCCCTCAGAGAAATGGGAAGGTGGACGACTTTGGTGGCAGTGAATCCACATCACTCGCCAGAATGGCAGACTTGGGAATTAAGATCGGCACATCAAAAAACGAGACGCACACCAGCTACGCCAGAAGACTTGTTAATCAACATAGAACTGGTACTATTAGCCATCGGACGTTGGGGTTCATACTGAGGGGAGGATCTGAGCACCTATGGACATGTCCGGAGTGCAATGAGGATAACCCAACTAACTAACTAACTAACTAACTAACTAACTAACTAACTAACTAACTAACTAACTAACTAACTAACTAACTAACTAACTAACTAACTAACTAACTAACTAACTAACTAACTAACTAACTAACTAACAAAAGCAGCCTAGACGAGCAACATTTCTTACGGGCGGGAACTCACAGAACAGCCCTGTGTCCTTTCATCCCTTGCTGTTCCTCGTCGTCGTCGATACTGCGCTGAGGTACGCCACGACAACCTGCCACGGACAGTGTGTTGGTTTAGCATAAATATGCGTCTGATACATGTCCTATGACAGAGAAACAAAATCCCGAATTGCCGACCGAAAAAAAGGTCTACTGTTTGGCAGAAAGGTGACCTGCCGGTTATTAACGGCCCACTCGCCAGAATGTGGTACCTAAAAGGAGAAGCTATGCCGGATGCATGCTTGATTTGATTTGATTTTGATTTGATTTGATTCAAGAACCGACATCACAGCACCCGGGGCATTCCCATAAGCGCCCCGTCTCCATCTTCAGCAGCCAGCGAAGAGCTCCGATACTAATGGTGCCAGTAGCTTTCTGATTAAACGTCCGTCTTGCCTTTCCTCTGAGCCTTGAGCTTCTACCAGAACCTCTCGTCACCCCCAACTGCATCAATCTCACCAGACAGTGGTGATCCATCTGCTCCTCCGCATTGTACACGCTCTCCCACAAGGCACTAACCACGTCTGCCCTATCATGTAGCAGTATTCCACCAAGTTGTGCAGAGCCAGCCAGTCTGTCCGCCTGTTCATTTCCCAACACACCGGCGTGACCCGGTGAAAAAATCCAGACAATACTCCTCACTCGTGTCCTCCGCAGCGAAGCATGCCACTCTGCACGAAGCATACCTGTTCTGATCTTCCTCAGCATGCTTTCTGAATCAGTTACAATTACAATGTGTGTGTGTGTGTGTGTGTGTGTGTGTGTGTGTGTCATGTTCTCTAGCCAGCGGAAAGCTGCAGTGACCGCCTCCACCTCCATTCTTAAGCTGGATGTTGTGGTATCATATGCTAGGCTCTGCTGCACCAAACGTCGACCATTAACTTTTGCTAAAAAGCCCCAAGCACTTCTTTTGCCTCTTGACACTGAACCGTCTGTGTAAATGATCAAATCCTCTGAGCGAGCATTATCTTGAATTAATTGCTGAATTTCCACCTCTGTGGCACCTGCTGACCAGTCTCTGCATTCCCGGCTCAGCGTGATTATGACTCTACACAAGTCTGACTGCTCAGGTGACACTTTGACCCACTCCTCTCCTCGCCTAATGTTCTCAAGGATGCAAACCTGTCTGATTGTGTCTTCTGCCTGAGCCATCCATGACCTCCCTCTTATCAGCCGCTGACCCTTAACTGCACCCAGAGCTTCATGCAGAGGGTGGTCTGTGTCTGCAGTTACCATGAGATATGACTTCGCCTGCATCACCTTGTGCCTTCCTGCAACCGTCGGCAAACCAAGGATGTATCGCATACACACCACTGGGGTGTCTCTGGTGCAACCCAGAATGACCCGCATAGCCGCGTTCTGTATGCGCTCTAGTTTGTCCATCTGACTCTTTGAGACGGTAAGCAGTCCCAAGCCATAATCCACCACTGACAGGATCAGGTGCTGATATAGTGTGAAAAGCATTCTCTGCTCTATGTCAATTGCAGCCATAGTCTTAAGTGCACTAAGTCCTTTTTGGCATCTCGTCACAACACTCTCCACATGGTCCTTAAATGACAGGCTCCTGTCAAATATAATTCCCAGATACTTCAGTTTGCTCTCTCTGTTGACGTCTCTACCATCTATCGTGAGACTTGGGACATTAGTTTTAACGATTCTGTTGTCCAGAGAACACCACAAAACAGTCGCCTTTTCCGGGTGGACGACAGCCTTCATTTCTGCACACCACTCAGTCACTGTGTCTACTATTGTAGCTCCCGGGCTGTTTGCTCCCTCTCTTCCCCCTGCCTATATGCAAGGATATCATCCGCAAAAGTCAGTATCCTTCCAACTCCTGGTGCTTCTAGGCTTGCAATCTTGCTCGTATAGACGTTGAAGTTCACAGGCGAGATGGCGGATCCCTGTGGCAGTCCTGGGGCCAAAGTGCATGTTTCAGAGGTCCATGAGCCCAGTCGGAGAGCAACCCGACGTGAATACAGGACAGCTGCAACCCAATTCACCAGCCAAGGATTGACCTCCTTCTCCCTCAGTGCAGTCATTAAGATGTCGTATCTCACTCTGTTATAAGCATCCTCGAGATCCAGTCCTACCGCTATAGTTTCCTGTCTGTTCTGGAACCCTTCACAGGCGTCAAAAGCAAAAGTGGCCGCATTTGCCCAAGTGTCCTTTCCTGGCCTGAAACTTCCCAGACCTCTTGGGAGAAGCTTCCCCCTTTCCAAAAATTCTTGTAACTTTACAGCAACTATCTTCTCCAAGACCTTCCAAAATGTATTTTGTAAGGTGATGATTCTAAAGCCACTAAGCTTAGAATGATCTTTAAAAGGTTTTGGTAGTGGGATTAGATAGCTGTGCACCCAGTCTTGCGGTACTGATGCTGTCTTAATACTCTGGTTAAAATAGTCGGCCATCTCCGCCAGGTCTACATCGCTCAAAGCCTTCATGTGACCATACCTGACACCATCAGGCCCTGGTGCAGTGTCTTTTGCTTTTTTCAAAATTTGTTTGATATCTTCCACTTGTATCATGTCTTCATAATGCATATTTTTTAAGGTGCCAGCAAACTCCTTTCTAACTGCACCTCTGATGTCTACATCACTATGATCTGTCTGAGCTATAAACCTATGGAGAAAAGCCTCCCCTTTCTCCTTGTCTGTTGTCACACGCACACCATCGTCTCTACAAATTGTTCCGACTGTCATAGGCCGATCTTTTCTTTGCATCTGCCTTTGCAGTTTCCAGAATTTCCCCAATGTTTTATCGCCTCCCATGTCATTCACAAAAGTTTCCCACTTTGCTCTTTTGGCCTCTGCAGCACAGCGCTTGAAAACCTCCACCTTATCTCTTTTCACTTTCTCCGCCATCTCCACTTCCTCTCGTGAGCTTGAGGGTGTCTGTCGTACTTTCTTTAGCTGCTTCACCGCGGCTCTTTTTGCCTTCCATGCCTGTTCTACTTCTGGAGTCCACCATGGGGGCTGTAGAAAATTAGTTCTGGCAGTTCTTTTGCATGCCCCCTGTCTGAGGCGTTCAAGTAGGTTGTTGGTCCACTTATACTGGAAGGTCTTGAGTGCTCTCCCAACCTTAACCTCACTGTATTTAGAAATCAAGACTGAACATGGTTGGCGATCACTCCCACGGTCATCCAGGACAGTCCATTTAACATCTAAAACCGACGACTGAGAGACAAATGTCAAGTCAATGGCTATGTCTGCATCTCCAGGCCTCATTGCCATTCTAGTCGGCCTCCCATCATTGATGCAGACCATATCGGAGTCAACCATGGCCTCTGCAAGAGCAATTCCCTGTCGGTTTTCTCCACTGCTGTCCCATTCTCTGTTCCTCGCGTTGAAATCCCCACATATGAGTAACCTATCACCTGGTAACTCCTCCAGTTCCTTGAGCCAGCTCCATTGTTCACTTCTGACAAAACAGTCTACCGTGGCATATATATTTATGAGATTCCAACTTAGGCCACCAATTTCCACCTGTATCCCTCGAACCTCTCGTCCACTGTGGTTCCACTGGCTCAAGTCAAGCACCACATGCTTCACTCCCTCCTTTACCACTAGACCTTGTCCATGTCTCTCCTGTCCAACAGGGTTTATATAACTGACGTACCCCGGGCAATGATATCTGTCTGTATTTAACTCCTGGAGCATCATGACATCAACATCAAAAATCAATCTCTCCAGTACAGGACCTCTCTGCCTAGCACTCCGACAGTTCCAGTATCCCACTCTTACATGATTAAAACTCAATCTCTCCGCTTTTCGACTTGTTCTCCTATCACCCGCCCTCCTATTTCTATGCCTTCTTCTCTCTCCATTTCCTCGTCGTCTCCTCCTCACTCCCTCTTCACTAACCGCTGAATAATGTGTCAAGCGCAGAGCACGTGCCCTGTAGCTCCGGCGACGATTCTTATGCATATTTTTAAAATCCATACGAAAAGATAGAGTACTGCAGGAAATGACCGGTCGCCGTAGTATTGCCTGCCTGCTAGGGAAGGGGCAATGGATGTCCCGTAGGAGTCCATACGCCTGGTGCCGCCCCGCACGCCCGCCAGACGTCCAACGTTCACGACCAGCTCACCCGTGGCCATCAAGTTCCTCAGCACGTTGGCCCACCTTGAACTTGGGGGTTTAAATTCGGAGTTTGCCGTCTTCTAGATGAACTGCTGTGCAAAGCTAACGGGTTCCATCTACCCGGACTTCTCCCAGAAAGAAGGCAACATTTGGCTAAATCCCATGGACGTTAGGAAACTTTGTGCACTCTTAAACATCTGCTGCACTGTGAAGCCCTTGTTGACAAGACTCTTCCTGAAGTTAAATACACAGTTGCATGCTTTGCCTGTCTTTCTAGTTTCCAGATGAAATAACGTTAAATGTGTCTAACGTGCCGAAGAAAAATGTACCTTTTTGTGTGGCCATAGAAGTCCCGTAACTTGAGGGCTGATCCCTGCTGATCTCCGGAGGGCACAGGCCGTAACAATTGGAAATCTCAACAAACGGATTTGAGGTTAAGCAGTCATGTGCAAGACGTGACGATTCCTTGGATGAGCCAAGTGTGCCAGAGTCATATAAGCATTCGAAGACCTAGTATAGAAGAAATCCCTTGTGATGTTTGCTCTCTCTAATACATAAGCGTGTTTTTATTATTATTATTAACTTGTCTTGCTACTTAATGGCAAGTATTCTGCTTAGGCATTGCAATGAAAACTATTTAGCCTTTTCTGCTGGTAGGTAGGTAGGTATGTAGTTGTACCCCACCAAGACATCACACAAGCGATAAACACCCGCTGACACCAAGTGCCACAATGCGGATGAGGACGGCCTGTGGAGAGGTCCCCATTTCAGCCTTAAGGCCATATTTATGACCAGGCTATATTCAGGAACCACGGCAGAAGCCAGGGTGGGGCTTCAACTAAAAAAAAAAAATTTGCATTCCACAAGGGGATGAGTCCATTCGAATAATGTTTCCTGGTTTGATTACGCCAACCAAGTTGCACTACGGTTAACATGAGTGCCGAGAACGCAAGTTTGACATCCTTTAGTGGATTTCGGTTTCTTATTGGGTGGAACAAAAAGAAAAGACCACATAGATTTGATCAATGATATTTCTACAAATAAATAGGGTTTATTATTAGATGAATCGAATGACACTTCTGCACTGAAGGTGTGTGTGTTTTATTACATATTACAGCAACAGTAAAGACAAAGTAGTTTCTACATATCTTGGACTAGTTCAATTGGAAAAATGTGATGCAGAAAGTATAGTTCAGGAACTGACGAAACTTTTCATCAGCAAACAATTAGACTTGAAGAATTTGGCTGCAATTGGTAATGATAATGCCTCGGTGTTGGTTGGTCTCAACAATGGCATTTATGCCAAATTGAGGGAAGATATCTCATCTTTAATTCTTATAACATGTGTGTGTCATTCCTTGCAGCTAGCATTATTACATGCTTCATCTGAATGTTTACCAGGAAATTTGCAATACCTTATTGCTAAAATACATAACTGGTTTTCCAAATCATCTGTCAGACAACAGCAATACAATAAATTATATTAAGCATTAAATGATGGTTTCGAACCACTGAAAATTCTGGCAGATTGCAAAGCTAGATGGTTATCAATTCAACCAGCTGTTGAAAGAATTGTGAACCAATGGTTGGAGTTAAAGACACACTTCGAAATAACACGACAAAATGAAAAGTGCTACCCAGCTGAAATACTTTGTGAACTGTACAGTGATGAAACAAATTTGGCATTCCTTCTCTTTTTACAACCTATTCTAATGGAAGCGCAAAAAGTTAATAAACTGTTGGAATCTAAACATGTTAATAAAGTTAAATTACTTGACGATCTCACTTTATTATTTCACTCAATTAGTAAAAGACCAGTGTTTCCAACTTCTAAAGCTGATTTGCTCACTTGCACTGTAGAGAGCTATTTGGCTCCTAAGCCATACCTTGGATTTCAAGTCAATCAAAATTGATGGGCGGACAATATTAAATTTTCTATTCCCTTTACGCTGTTCTAAATGAGGACTGTGCACGGCCGACTTTATTTATTTATTCTGGAGAAGGAGGTGTAATGTGTCATCTGCGTAGCGAAGTTCCGGAATAGGGTTGCCACCAATTTCGAGCGGATCGTAACTGTTACAAGTTTGGTCATTTTTGACATTTCTCATTATATTTTCTGCGTATATATTTAATAGGTTTGGTGAGAGAATGTACCCCTGCCTCATCCCCTTTTGCACCTGACTGACTGACTTTCTACCCCACCAGGACATCACACAAGCGATAAACACCCGATGACACAATGTGCCACCATGCGGATGAGGATCGCCGTGGAGAGGTCCCAGAAACCGCGTTCAGACAATTTGCCATATTTATGGCCTGCCTATATTGCGGCCCCTGGCAAAAGCCTGGTACTGGTACTGGTGTTGATAAAAAAAACGAAAAACTTCTTGCCTCTTTCAACCGGCTCCTAGATTGAGCTTTGGTTATATCGAAGCGGTGTTTTGTTGTCTGGAGTTTTGTTATCCAGTTATAGTCGTTTCTGTTGAGGCGATTTACATTTCTGCCTGAGGTTAGTTGCTTCTGTCAGAGTGAGGTAGGTGGGCGTGGCTGGGCGGCGGACATATGTCATCTGGTTGTGGGCTGTGAGGTTTCTCAGGGCTTGTGGGCGTGGTTGTTCAGCTGTCATGGCGGCTTGTGAGGTTTTCATTGGTTGCTGCATGTTGGCTTTCAACTTGTTACTTCACGTGGGCGTCGTTTCCGTTTGAGTGGGCTGCTATCTTCGTTTTGTTGTTTCTTATGCTTTCGAGTTGAAGATGCCGGGTGACTTCTTTGAGTTGCTTCACCTCCTTGTTGATTGCTGCGAAGTCGCCTTTCATGCATTCCTTGAGGATGTATAGGTCTTGTGTGCACTTCTTCTCTAGATCTCCGGGTTTCACGTGTGCGTCGTGGATCTGCCTTTTTCTGTCTTTCTCTTTCTTCGCGTTTTCTCTGGCTTCTATCACTCTGTGCGTGGCTTCGATTACACAGCTGAGTTTGTCGCATTCATTGTTTGTCTCGGCTACCTCTGCTTTTGTTTTTGTCAGGTCTTTCTTGATGGTGGCTATCTCGGAAAGTATACTTTTCTGGTTGTCTTTCAGTTCTTTGGCGGCTACTGCGTCTGCTTCCTTTAACTTCTTGAGGTCGGTTAGATTTGCCATCAATTCTGTTTTGAACTTCGCCATTTCTGTATTTTCCTCCTCGAGTCTCCTTTGGGTCTCGAGAGATGCCTGCAGGATGCTTCGCAGGTCTATCATCTCGTCCCTGTCTTGAGTCCTGAGTGCCACGATTCGTGCGTTCTCTTCTCGCAGGGATTTGATTTCGTCTCTCAGCTGCGTAATGACGTTGTTGTTCGCAGCTGTCGGACTGGGCGCCTGATATCTTTGCTTCGGCTCTGGTTTGTGTGTGGTCCTGGTGGTGGAATTCGCCATCGCTCTCTTGACTTCTTTCAGGTACGGGCAACCCATGTACCTGGCGCTGTGTGCACCGGAGCAGTTGGAACATCTTCTGCTTGCGTTCGGCTTTTTAAAGTCAGGGTCCACTTTTGCCAGAGGGCATTCCCTGAATAGGTGAGGGCCGGAGCAGTACCGGCACGATGGGCTGCTGCGGCATGACGAGGCAGAGTGCCACGCCTTGTTGCAGCG